GTGGTGTGGGGGGGGGGTGGTGGGGGGGGTGGGGGGTTGTGTGTGGGGGGTGGGGGGGGGAGCAATAGTATGAAGTAAATTTGTATTTATTTTGGGAAGATTAAGAGAAAAAATATTGCTTGACATTACCTTTCAGTAATGAATAGGGTGACCTTCAAAGTAAGTTAAGGTTGTAAATTACATTAAACAAAATGAAACTGCAGTGAATTTGTATCTCAACCATTAAATACCAAGTGCTTCTCAAATATCAGGGACTCTTTGAATTGTACTGAAAAAAAGAATCAAACATTTCTCATTGTGTGTAAGCAATACATATGTAAATAATTAAAAAAGTGCACAACTCTACACTTGCTCTAAGTGATACATAATATTCAGGCGTTCACTGGTTTGTAAATCACTAGATGTCCTCGAGGTCCTTGCGTGTGTCACTAGGAGTGCCGTATGCTATCTTCAGGCATTTCCAGTTCACGTTGCGGCTTACCAACCTAGCTTATGTGGACAACTGTTTGTTAGACATCTTTATGATCAGATAGCATGTCTTGGGGTGAGGCCTCAGGACTGCAGATAATGAGAAAACTATATAAATGAGGGTGTGCAAATAAAGTCACTGTGTTCGTTCTTTTTTTCAGCACTTATATGAAGAAAACAATGCCAAACTGAATATTTATAATATTTGTAACCCCCAAAGTGAATTTAGGATATCAAGGGAGCTCCCTTTTCCTTGCTGAATTCTCCACTTTTTTACAGAAATGTCCATAATTTTTGTGTCAGTTTAAAAAAAGAATTTAAATATAATATGTTTGTACAGTTGTACAGTTTTAAGTCGTACATCCATTAATGTCTTGTACCTTACCAAACGTCACTCATCAAAGAAAATGCCTGTAAAAAAGGAATATATGTCATGTAAAGGTTTCTTTTGGCTAGATGTACATGGTATGTGGTCTGCAGCATTCCTATATGATCTAATGGATCAGAAAGATCACGCTTTGACAAAAAAGTTCTCTTTACGGATCAAAATATTTTCAGCCTGATGGACACTAGGCATTGTGATCTGGTGAAATGATGTGAACAGACATTGGGATGTATATATCGCCATTGTTCAGGATTATTTCCCTGTCACAGTTGAGATGCAGCCATATCATTATACCCTGTGTACAGTGTGTTTGGCTGGCAGGCATGTGATGTGGTACTTCTGTCTGTGGGTGGACAGTACTGTGCTGGCTTGGAGACCAGTGTGTGTCTGCCAGTGACAAAAGTGATTTATTTCTAGATGGACAAAGACTTATATTGGCTAAAGATAATGAATAATGATGTATATAAAACCACCATTGGCAATAACAGCTTGTAGACGCTGTGCTGCCTCAAAAGAGAGAGAGAGAGAGAGAGAGAGAGAGAGAGAGAGAGAGAGACTAGGCCAGTCTACTAGCGTGATACAGACAAGGACCACTGTAGAACACTTGTATCTGTAAATTACCAGAGAAAGGAAATTGTTGATGGCACCACATTTACTTCATGTAAAGAGATTTTGCACAAAATACGAAAACAATTTAAACTGCACAGAAGTCCCCAATTATGTCAGGACCATGCCTGTAGCAGACATTACTGTAAATTTATCTGAGCTCAAATAGCTACTGTATACATTATATTGAACCCAGGTCTTAATGTGAAGTACACTGGTCATAAAATGAGCATACAACACCATGACATGACTAATGATGGAAGACTGTGGACATCAGGGACATACTCCCACGCTAATAGCTTACTATCAGTAGAAACAGAAGTCCTCATTCAAGTTGGTGACATGTTTCATGATGTAATCAAAGTTTAATGTGAATATTCTTTGAAGTGGAATGTGCCCTGTAGATTATTATGTATCTCAGCATATTTACCGGTATATTCGGGCGTAATCATTTTGAATAATGAGTATAACTCATAATCAAGAATATTATTCATAAATATTAAACATGCTTGTATCATATGAAACACTGCACTTAATTGTAATATTAAACATGGTGTTACCAGTGAAATTTTTTGTATTTTCAGCTTAATCCAGTCCCAATCTTCAGTACAGCACAATCATGGCTAGCAGACCCAGGGGGTACGGACTTACTGCCGAACTTTCTAATAAGGTGAGAAGTTTTTTAATCACACTGTACTAAGGCCCTTTACACTGTCATAGGCTAGCTACATCTATGTATTGTCTTCTATGAGCAAAAATTGTGTACATATTTTTAAAAAATACTTCAAAGTACATGTTGTCAGATTGATTCCACTTCTAATCTTTTTGTGATATATCAGTTTTTACTCCATATCCATATACTACAATGTGTTGCTTGACATTTGTTTCCTTTTATCAGAAGTTCATCCACAATGACAAAAAGGACAATACACGCAAATATAAAGTGTAGTGCTTGTAAAAATGTTCATTTTGTTATTTGAGATATGCTTTTATTATTGTCTGATGAATAAAGGTACGTGTGTTTCCTACATGAAGGCTATCAGATGCACTAGGAGAAGAACAGTGAATAGGTAGTCAAGAAACCAGGTGGCAACATTGCTCTGTGTCAAAAGACCATTGTTATTTGATAAATTGTTTTGTTTTTCATTCATATTGTTCAATGAATTACAGGTTATGCTTGGTAAAATTGATAGGAATGATACATTTTTCATACAAATTAATGGTTTAGAACGAGGGCTTTTAAAAAGTTCTAACATGCAATTTTGACTGTGGAAATGTACTTTTTGTCTTTGCATATAAAATGGAAATTTAAGGTCCACAAACATGTTCACACATAATTTGCATTTTTAAAAATAATTAAAAATAATAGTTCTTTATTAATATTTTTAGTCTGTGTCATGTTGCAGATAGCCTCTAAATATAGTCAGGAAAATGAGCAAGAGGCTCGGTTATGGATAGAAGACGTAATAGGAGAAGCTATTTCAGTAAGTAACAGGCTGCAGTGCGTGTTCATATGGATTTTCATCAAACCGTCTTGATTATTTTCAGGGTCTGTTATTTTCTCTCTTTTTTTTACTAACATTGAAGAATTTTTTGCAGCACATTTCGTAAGAGTGCATAGTGTTTTAACTCTGCTGGAAAGTTACATACAGTATTTTAAATCTTCTAACCGACATCAAAACTGACACATATTACTCAAAGATTTTCAAGAAACATTAAATTCAGTAAAGTGGTTGATGATATGCCACATATTCAGATGATGCTTTATTTTTTATTATAAAAAGACTCGTGAAGTAGCTTTCCAATGGGTTATGACTAGTGTTCTCTTGCTGTACTGACCATAGTGCAGGTAGACTCCTTTGGGAGCACATCCGCAGGACAGCCTCTGTATGAGGCTGAAGGAACCCAGCTTGGCAACCGGGCATAGACTGGTCCCGTGACCCATTTCTACATGTTGTACTTATTGTCATGAAATATTACCTGATGTAATTTCAGATGAACTCCAAATACGATGACCATATGGAACTGGAGGCTAGACATTGGATTGAGGATGTCATTGGCGAACCTATTGGTGTTAGTTTAAAGAAAAAAATCAATATACAATAAAAGAGAACAATTATCTCTTCTTTCCACCTTCATCTTAATCTCATGATTTTGTAAAACCACAAGAGGGGAGGGGACAGATTATTATTCAAGTAAAATTCCTGAGGATTATCACGGGATTTAATCTTGTGAAGTTTAAAATAAAAATGGGAATGACAGTAATTTCACTGTGTTAGATCATGTCACACTTTATGTGGGAAATGGGGGTGTGTATTGGAAATGTTACCTATTTGTAACTTTAATTTGGTGTTTACAAAATCATAATTCCTCCTTGTACTCCCCAGCAAACCAGACTTCCTTGCTTTTAAATCATGACGCAAAAATAGCTCTGGACAGTTTGAGTTAATATGTAGGTAAAAGGTACATAGATCTTGTGAGCATAGATTTTAAGAGATTAAAATCTACGCCTGAGGGCTGAATGGGAACATTTCGATGTATTCTTGGTAGCTAGAAGGCCTATTTTACAACATGTAGCATATGAGAGCTGGTTTATATTATAGTAATACAAAAGTAGGTTATCTGATAACTCGATCTTTACATTCATTACCAAATTCTATTTCGTTTAAGATATAGAATGAAGAAGTGATTTTGGGGTTTTGAAAGTGAATGCAAGGGGTTAAAGTATGATAAATTGTAATATTTTATATAAAATGGAGATCAGATGGTAGATTTAATCATGGGCTGGACAGCTGTACCTGGTTCTGTATTGGTTAGGGGTACAATAAATGCCTGCATGAACCAGTGCCTATCTCTCTTTATCCCAGTCCCTATATATCCAACACCTTTTCTTATAACTCCTGCATTTTTCACCACATATTTACACACGCCTCTGTCAGGTATGTCTGATACATTAGTTCTGTAATGAATGAACATGACAACCCCTTCTTTCCTCCCTCCCACAAAAACTGGGATGATGAAATCCTTGACGTATGGATAAACTGGGGGCTGACAGACAAACAGACAACAGACAGACCTCCACACTGACAGTTGCCACTCAATATCATGACAATTTTTACCTAACATGTCTGTGTTTTTAATACCATCATGATGAACCTCCAGTTACATGAATGCTATACCCCCCCCCCCCCCCCCCCACCACCACATCCATTAACAGCCACATTGTCCTGGTGACTTACATGTTATGGGGTAATGTAGGGTAGAGGTATTATCTTTGTGGAGACAGAGTTGCCAACTGCATTGTTCTTTTGTTCATTATACATAAGCCATGCAATAAATCTCTGCATTTTGAGCATTGTCATGTTGGCAACCCTATGGGCGAACTGCATGTGGGTCTGACATGTTGATTAAAGGCAGTATCATTTGAGTCACAGGTGACAGAAATATTATCTCTGTCACCTGCCTTTACAAGATGTATGATGTACAGCTTTACGACACGGTTCTTGGTGCATGGGGCAGAGAGCAATATTGAGCTTTGCACAGGGGCGGATTGAGGCGGTCTTCTGGGTCTTCCAGATTTTTTTTATCAGAAGACCACCAAAAATGTAGGATGGATCAACAAAGATAATTTGGAAGACTGTCAGAAAACATCTCTGGATCCGCCCCTGTTACAGGAGAGTCATCATCTTCTCCATATACATCTTATTTTTTTCGCTTTCAGATTTATAGCATTTTTGCATAGAGCCTTGCAGATTGAAAATAACTGTGCTCTCATTTAAGATTGATTAGTTTTGATAAGATTAACTTTGCAATGCACTCTGTTAATTGCAATCCAACTTTTCACTTTCCATTCTACCCTGAAAGAAACATTTGAACTTATTGTTGCACATTTGCTTAGCTTTGTGGTGGCTGCCATTTTTATTTTGTTCTTGATGCTTAAAGGATTAAAAAGTTTAAATAGATATACCGTTCTTTGTTGACACCTTTGAAGCTAAAGTAAGGATTGAAGATTTTCTTCATTTAAGTCAACAAATAATGTGAACCAATTGTTTAGTTTTGGTAGATCTTAAAATTTGAAATAGTATAGAATATATGCTAAAATTTCATGATGACTGTTAACATTAAATAACATTTATTGTTTATTTATCATTTTTAGTCTGGAGATCGCAACACGCCCTTGGGAATGAAAGGGTTCCATGAAGCTTTGAAAGATGGCAGGATTTTGTGCAGGTATTTCATGCAATCACACCACTCATTTTACTATCCAGTTGCTTTTTTCTATTGACTTTTCTTTCTTAAACTGTGCAGGTACAACCACTCTCATTAGCAACTTTTGTCAGAAAGAAATTGCTTAATTAAAAAAATAATACACATTCTAATTAAATTAATTTAATTTAAGCAATTTATTTTATGATGAAATGATGAAAAGGGGGCTAAAAATACAGTCATGCCTAATAAAATAAGCAATTGAAATCACTTTGCTTTTGTTCTAGACTAATCAATGTTCTGCAGCCAAATTCAGTGAAAAAAATCAACGATTCAAAAATGGCTTTCAAGATGATGGAGAACATTGGGAATTTTTTGGAAGCTTGTGAGCGGTATGGAGTGAACAAAGTAGACTTATTTCAAACTGTTGATCTGTACGAATCCCAGAACATGGCATCAGTTGTCAATGGAATTCATGCCCTTGGGAGGATGGTGAGTTTGTTGAACATATCGTTTAAATGAGATTCTCATTTCCAATTTATAATTTAGGAAATTCAAAGTTTACTCATTACTGGATTGCAATTGTGTCACTTAGTTAATTAGTCGGGTGTGTTCCAAGCTAATTAATGAGTATAAATGGCCTTTTTTGTTGCCTCATAGGAGCAGAAACCAACAAAAGTGGATTTGTGAATTGTTACCATCTTTTGAACAGACATATATGTATATCCATATATAGCTACCATTTAACTTGAATGAGCTTAATCTTCTTGAAATTTGGTGTTGATTTTGGTGTTTTGCAACACGTATAATTGCATTAAAAATTGACAAAATGACCTATTTCATGCATCATTATTTGCTTTTATGTCTGTACTTTTTACAGCTTTACATAATCTTTCAATGCATTTCAGGCCCAGAAAAAAGGTTTTCATGGCCCTGTTCTTGGCCCCAAGGAAGCATCAAGCAACGTCCGTGAATTTACAGAGGAGCAGATGAAAGCTGGCCAGGGAGTGATCGGGCTGCAAATGGGCACGAACAAGGGGGCATCACAAGCAGGAATGTCTTTTGGCAAAACAAGGCATATTATTGATTAAAGTGATCATTTGTATGAAACTTCCATCCTGAACTGTTTGACAAACCTTCTATATTCCAGCAGCCATTTCATGCTGTCAACGCATCATCATTACAAAAAATGTCTGCTGCAATTATGGCCTTAACTCTTTTGGCTATGCATCACTGAAGCTCTGAATTTATGTGTATTATTTTTAAAGATCTGTTGTCTTGAGCATTTATTAAGTGTCTTTCCCAGTTAAACGAACAAAAACAAAAAGATTGCTATCAATGCTATAAAATACATGCATTCCTTTCTTTGTGTGGCCATTCCAAACTTTGTGGTGTTTCTTTTGAGATGGTGGAAACTACTTTCATTCCAAAATGCATTCTTTTCTGCTGGAAATGATTCCATTATTCTGACCTGTGTCCCTTCTCTTCACTGCAACATTTCGTAAGAACCAAAATGGTGGAACTGTGTCCTTTAATTAGTGATTCACATGTAATAAAGGGAAAAATGAAAGAAAAACAAGACATAAAATTAGGATTTCGGAAGATTGCAAATAACAAAACATGCGTGAAATTATGAAAGTTTCCAGATATCTTTTTTTTTCTTTTTCATTATCTTGTTAATAGAGCAATCAAATAAAACAAAGCAATGGTCTTGTGTGCTTTCTAGAGAACTATCATCTTTGACTTTCTCTACAGACATACTGTCATACAGATATTACATCATAAACGATAAATGCTACTTCAGTTAATCCTTTGGATTTCTTAGCAAACCAATGTTTTCTCTACATATTACAGCATACTATATCTATGCCATAATATGGTGCTTTGTAGCAAAGCATGACAGAAATCTGCAAATGTGGATATATTTTTTCATTCCTAGATGTAGACTTAAATCTAGTTACGTAAACAAGACACAGACTGCAGACTGTTAAGGTAAATTGTATTAGTTATAACTGGTGATAACTGAATGCGGTTAAACAAGAAAAGCGAAGTGCACTTTTTCTTTATAAGTATAACAACATTGTCATGCCAATATGGTATCTGCTGACCATCTGTCGCAATAAATGCATGTTATCATGAAATAAAACTTTTAAAACAATCAATCTGTTTTTGGTCACTTGTTCATATAGTAAAGAGCAGCTACATTTGTTGTATATGAGGAGTTTATTCTTGAGGGGGGTTCTAGTATATATTGTCAGGTTTTCAGTAAAAGGCCTGTTGAAAACTCGCTGTGTTCTTATGAGTTTTGAATGTTAGAATGTGGTCAAGGTGAATTACTTCCATTGTGGAATAGACTGCTTTTCAAAAGAACTTAAAAGAAATTGATCAGAAAACATCTGTGGATAAATTTGGCCAGCTTTACTTCATTGTTGCACTAGTACTGCACTATTTTGCTGTTTCTTCTTATTGCACTTACCTCCATATCCCGTGAAATCTCACTTCATTTTATGCCAAGTTGTGAGATTGTGGGATGATTTCCACAAGGCCAATGGCTTCTTCCTGGGATGGTTGATCTTTTTGTGTATAGTACAATCGGGGTTGAAATATTTTCACTGCATTACTTGAAGGTCTGACCATAGTAATGAAATAATCTGATTCAACAGTGAAAGCCTGGTCACCAACAGTAAGAAAATTATTATTATCTATGAATGATTCACTTGTATAAATCACCATGGAAGCAATGACTTGCAAAGCTCAGTAGCTTGCAACTACTCATATTAAACCTAAAACTGCCAGCTAGAGGAAAAAACTGGCACACAAAAAGTCATGCTCTTTTTGCCCACAGTTGTAAGAGTTTGGAAAACTTCTTTTACACATACGAAGAGGAAGAAGCCACTGCCAGAAAGTTTTTGTCAATAAAAGATTAATTTCACCTCATACCAAGAGGATTTTTTCTCTCCTACATGTGTATTTGTTGAATATGATGCTTGACTCAACCAGACAATGTATGAAACCGAGCATAGACTTGATGCCCTATGTAAAGAAGTTTATATTCACTAACAAAACCACTGTAGGGAAACCTTTGTACTCTACCCATCATTAAGTCCTAATATTGTGGTGTCTGCCTAGTTTTATTGCAATTTTATTAACCACATGACTCGCTATTACTTCCTAAACAGTTGGGTTTTTTTATGAGTGTGCATAAATATTTTGTCCAGGTATATCTTGATACTTTATTTGCCGAAGAAACTGCAGGGTCAGTCCTTATCACCAAAATTGCCACAGAAACTTACAATGAAAGTGTTTATTGAAAAATAATGCCTTTTTTATTGAAAAACCATGTCATTTCTCCAGCAACATTTATAATTAAATGAACGCCTCACTTTTCTCTCGTGACAAGGTCAACTTGCATATAGAACACTACAGGGTTTCCTTTAAGTCAGCTCACAGGAAATATCACTATTTATGGCTTTATACTAATATACTACATATACTATATTCTTTCCCTACAGATAAAATGTGCAGTTAACTTTTCATCACAGATAGTGGTGTAATATTGAAAATTGTTCAAAATGTTTTAAAGTGTCCAGACATAGGGGACACCCTGTAATGGGTGGAGGTCAGGGGGAGGCCTTCCAAGTTGGTACTGTTTTGTGACCCTAGTGCTGATTCTAAGATTTCCAATCTCATTAAAGTGTTTCATTAACAAGTCAGAAAATGCACTTGTAAATGAAAATACTCTCATACATTGAACTTCTAAAGAATTCAGACTGGTTTAATTGTGGCACAGGACAGCAGATTTCCCCATGTGAATGTGCCCTTCTGATGATACACCTAAGTCAAAATTCCAGTCTAAATTAAATCTGTGTGAACTCTACTGCTGTGATGAGCATCAGTTATTCATTGCATGATTACTAGCTGTGAGCAGTAAGAATATATTGCAGTTCCAGAACAGCCAGGTGCATTTGATACAATAGTACACTAAACCACACTTTCTTTTTTAGGGAAAAAAGTATGTTCTGCTTGAGTTGACTAAATCTATTTCTTTTTGAGGTAGTTCGTGTATGTCACTTGGCTCAAATTCAGCTTAAGATGCTTTCCATCCAAATTATTAACCCCCATCCTGATGACTTGTGAGGAAATTGTGGCTTTTATAATTGGCTAAAAGCAATGTTAAGCAGAGTGGATATTGAAAGTGACTTGAGTGCCTTCATATGGTGTCCTCTGTGACCGCAGAATGTCACGTCCATTCATACTGTTGAAATGTAAAACACAATGAGTTCAGAAAGCATGCCAATAGTGTCTATAAGCTCACTATGGCTCTGCTGCTGATAAATTGAACTTCATCAAAAGAGTTAAAGCATTTGGTCATGGAAGGAAAAGCCTGACGTAATATGTAACTGCTTGCAATTAAATTTACTTTCCAGGTCTTGACTCTGGTCATTAACTTTTACGCAACAAAAAATGTACACCTCAAAAGAACCACCAAGTGTTCAGGCCATGCAATTTGGTGTTATACAAGAAATTTATGTGTCGTGATAAATTGTCTATTTATCTTTCCTCACAAAGGAAGGTAAAGAAAGAGATGTCTTCAAAACTGAATTGACAACTTCAACATCTAAACTTGATAACAGACCAAATAGTGAATGAAAAATCTTGCTCTAACTAAACTGAAAGTACAGAAATAGTCCCAGGTCAACCAAGCAGACAAGCAAAACTCATATTACCATTTTGATATATATTAAACAAACTTATTTTTGGCACTTCATCATGCATGCCATTTTGTTGTCAATTGTTAAAAGGCTGTTTATATAAAAAGCTATTGTTTGAACTCCATCAAGCAAACATAGGTTGTCATATTAATGATGATATTCTGATGACACTAAGGTCCCCCCCCCCCCCCAATATCCTTATAGTATTTTAATGGGATCTGAAGTAAACAAAATCTGAAATTTACCATCAATCTGGAATGTGGAACATCTGTCAAAGAAAATGCTACATATGACACAATATAGAGCAATATTTCAAAAATTGATTGTAATTGAATAATTTACCTGTACTCACAGCTAGTATGCTACTGTCTCTTTTCAGCTGTATAAAATACATAAATTTTCCTAAAAACAATAAGTTTGGAACTTTATTTCCCCATCCTTTCCTTTCTTACTTTTCAATCAGTATATATATAGTGATAACACCGCAATGCATTTTATTTTATATTCATGTTGGGAGGGAAAAGTCTGTTGTATTTGTTCAAGATTACACCTCCTGGTTGTCTTGCAATTAAGGTGCAGAGCCCTGCACTGGAAGCAATGGTATAATATATAGATATAGAAAATTATTTTCACTAAAAGATACCAATAAACTTTTGTCTTCCATATAAGTGATCAAACAAATCTGTTTAGTGTTACAAAGAGCATCAACCAATTGAGATTAAACATCCCTGTTTTGATACTGTGGCCATAGTTATAGTTCTTCACTGTAACTAGGAGTTTATGGAGCAACTCTACACAGTGGCATCATGACAGCACTTTTGTGGTGGATTCCTTTGTGCTTGTCCTTTAATTTGCTGTCTAAAATAAATTGGTGACATTAAGAAAACAAAAAAATATCTGGATCTAATAATTTTTTTAAATTATCTTGTGAATATAACTACAAAAAGAGACAAAAACTATATTAATATATCATTTTTGCTCCCTCAACCTACTAAAAAACATCTTCTTAGAAAAATCTGTGCATTTTTGTGTACTGTCGATAACACTAATTTTTCTTTTCCCAGCACCCCCCCACCTCTCCTTCCTCTTTAGATTCCGCTCTTTACATGCAATATTTAAAGTTGCTATATGAAAGAAGAGGAAGAAATTATTTGCTTGGTTCAATAATGGTTGGTGTTGGTGGCGAGAGCGGGAGTCACCCTGTGTTGCTCGAGCAGGAACACCTGGACAACCGAGCGGCGCGATAAAATGGTAAAATACAGAGATGAATACTTGAACATGCAATATTATATTTGCCAAATTCTGGTTATCAATCACTTACATTCCAGCATATTATACCCCTCTGCTGAGGTGACATAACAAACCCACGCACTAGTGATAATTACATACTTAGATCAGGACCCCTGACTTTATATAGTAAAATCTCCCACGTATATCTCTCTTATCTTTAGGTGAAATAGCCCATAGGTGGGAAAAGAGATAAGATATTATAATGATAATAAACTGAACCTGCTATAAATATATATACTGTGCAGATAGTGTGATAATGCAAGTGAAATATATTCATGCCAAGCAGGTTCTCAAGGGAGATCATTCAACACATACCCGATGCTTTCCTTTATCCTTGTACGTGACTGGTAATTTAACTGGCATTTGAATTTTCTTCCGGAATAAGAAAAAAAAATCAGAATTTTTGGCTGACTATTCATGTGCGTCAAGAAGGGTGCAATGTCAAAGGAAAGGAGGTTTAAAATCACAAGCATGTCTGCTAAACAGATGGTGTGTGGATCTGTAAAAACAAATAAAAAATCTTTGTGGAGTCATTCTATTGATTTCCTGGTGTACTAGCTTGCATCAGAGAAAACATGTCTCATGGAAGGAATCCAAGTCACAGTCTTACACACAGCAGCACAGTCACTAGCCTTGGTTTGAAATGTCAACAATCTAATTACACTGGTAGTAAAACAATACAGTGCAATTCCTGCTCAATATAGTGCATGTTGTTTTCTTTAGACAATTAAGGAAAAAGGGTCTGTGTGTGTATGTTTGTAGGGGGCGGGGGGGGGGGGGGGTGAAGAAGGGCCAAGCTTACATGCTCCACCAAATGGAGGAATAAATACATAAATAGAGAATGAGCAACAGATTGAAATGTTTCCTACCATTTGACATCCATACCTATGCTAATGATTGTTTATTTTTGACTGTAACCATAACATTGTGTGCTTTATTTTGTCAACAAAATATAAATTGTGCAGTAAGCTTTAAACTAGTGGAACAGTTACAGTTCATATAAGATGTTTATCACTCATGCCAGACAGTTTGAAATAAAAAAAAGAAAAAAGCAAGAAACAGTAGTGCAAAAGAACTGTTCTATCTCATAATAGTCTCCAATGGTTGCCAAACATTCTTTTGGTTTAACTACGGCACAGACAAACACACAAAGCAAACCAGTGTTGATAGCAGGGAGAGCTCCAGAAAACATGTAACACAACCACATCTCTGTCAGTGAGAGACCAAGGCAAGGTGGAAACCGGACCACTACCATAAACAAACCATCTAAATTGCCTTTTAAAAAAAGCTCATGTCTCTAATAAGAAATGTTGCAGCTACTTATATCTGATCTTACATTGTGTGAGGTATCAAAATACCAAAAGTTTCCATTAAAGTTTTCTCCAGTCTAACAAATAATAGTCTTATATCAATTCACTTTTTATTAAAATTACTGAAAACTTCAACAGGTCTGATTGTTTCCTGCAGCTCAATTATTCGTACTTTCAGCAGTGAGAATGAAACCTGTCCTAATTACCCCCAGGGACCTAGCTGCTCCCATTTTCTTTGAGCATAGCAAATAAGTAATAAATATCACAGAAATTCCAAGTCTCAAGATGATCAATCTAAAATCAAGTTAATGTTATACAAGTATTTGAGGAAATAAAACCTTAGCCACAATATCACACTATGTGTACATCAGGTAAAAGCATGAGAAGTTCCCCAAAGTTCATCAAAGGCAAGCACCCCCTCTTCCCAGCTGATAAATGAACCAGATGCTACACATGCAGCAATAGAGATGGTGGGAGTGCTTACAACATGGCTCTACTACCACAATGACCAACAATAAAAGCTGAAATAGGACCAGACATACTTTCCAGCAACATGGTAAGGTATATACACTGTATCATCTCCAGTATAAAAACAATATTAAGTTATTTCACAGTAATTTTAACCTTTATTCAATGGCTGTGTTTAGTAAGTTACAATTTGAAATAATATTTCTGATAAAAAGACAAAATATGCACTTTTATTTAAAAATAAGAGGCAAGTAGAGGAAGCTCTTAATTTAGTGTTTAAATATTTGTAAAATATCCTGACAACAATCAACCAATAATGTCTTTATTCATATTAAGATAACTTATAACAAGTTACAATAATAAAAACAAATAAAAGTAACCCTTTACCAAATATCTGCATGAGTGTATATTACAGAAACATAATAAATTGGACAAAAAGAGATCATATTTCAACATTACCACATAGTGCTGTTTATTTTTGTGTATGATCTAAAACAAGAAACTTTGAATATAAAATTTTTCAATAGATATTTATGCTTAGTTCTCTCAATTTTCACTTGTGAAAATCAGTTCACCGAAGTATCATTTTTTGTTTGGTCATACTCGTCTAATGTGATACAAATTTTCTAAAAACTACTATTCAGAGGTGAAAGAAATCAGTCTATGTATGAACAACTACAGATAAGTTTGTTACCATTACTTCCACACAACTTAGACTTGTTATCAATTTTTATTTCCTCTGACCTCAGTGTATGGCATGGTTTTATTGTAATACCTTGTAATACATGTTTTCAACATTATGGATGTAAGCTAAATATGATACATAACATGATACATCCTGTATCAATACTGAAGTGTGGAAGTTTTAACATACAATCACCCCAAGACATACAGTACGTTTAGCCAAAACCAAACTTAGATGCTCAGGGCATAAAAATTGTGCCGAACTTTTACAGCTGGTTTACCACACATGTTCAAAACTGATTCCATTTATTTCTACATTAAAAGAGAAAGGTTCATGCGCAGAGCAAAATAGAGAAAAAAATAATATACCTGCCCACTGCTATAAGCACAGAGAGAGAGGATATAAAGGTCTATGGTTTGGGCCTGCAGCATAAAAAGGAGCAGACACCTTGTGCATTTATAATGGAGCTACGTTTGCCTTGCAGATACAGAAGACCTCTGTAATATACCATGTGTTCCAGGAAGGCTATAAAACCAATGACTAATGTTACTGCTTATCCATTACTGACAGTGTGTGACCCCCTCCCACCTAAACTAACTCCCCGGAAAGCAATTGGTTGACTGGACATAAAACACACTGTATGAGGGAAGAAATACTATTCAGTTGTTAAGAAGAAATATAGATCTACCATTGCCAACTATTTAGCTACCATAGGTCTGCATTCAGGATCAACATACAATGTCATTAACTTGTAGGTGTGGAAATCAATTAGCAATAAAATGACCAGCAGATCAAGTAGGTGGTTTTAAAATGCCACCAGAGCAGCAATCCTGTTACCATAGCTCCCAGCAAGATGGAAAAAACATGGACCCTAGCTCTCAGAGCACTGGACAATTTTAATGGTATTTTTAAACAAATCTAATTCACAAATCCCCAAGTTCCCATTCTCTGCCAGTTCAGCACCAAATAGTGGTTTGTATCTATCTTATATTTTTCAATACACAAGATGTATAAGTTTTCATACACAATCTATTCAAAGTTTTTTTCCAAATTGCAGAAATGTAAATACAATTGACCAATTCAACCAATATATCATACTGAATAACAGATTCTACTTGAATTCCAATCTGATAAATACTTGGACTGATAAAACAATTCCTGAGGCAGCTACCATATTATATTTTGTGGAACAGAGTACTTAATAAAATTTCTGTAAAGGAAAAGAAACAGTCTCCTTACTTAAAATTCTCTTTTTTTACTCGTTGTTATATAAAACTGGCAGCCAACTTAAAGAAATTTGAAAAAGCAAGGCACTATGTCAGATATCACAATCTGTTCATCATTCAGCTGTAAGCAGCAACTTGTCTCCATTTATTGGCTGTAACTCTACTTCAGGGCTAGTCACAGGGGCACTGTTCAGCTGAGGGGTCACCTTTCTTTCTTGACTCTTCCTCAAAGGAACAGGAGTGTTGAAGGCCTTGAATGCATGCTGCACCTTGGCAGAGCTGTCAAATATAGAATTGAAAATAAATAAATAAATAATAAATAAGAATCAAACTGTCATTTTACAAAAGATTAAACAGGTTTGGAAGTGAACATGTCATGGACAACCAGAGCAGTAAAAGTGTTAATTAATATATTCAGACAGTCAGGTAATTTAGTTGACGGATGCTAATGACTACTATGAAACATTCTTATCTGACCAGAGTATAAATCAAAGCCTCAGTAAAGGTGTCCAGAGTATAAACCAAAGCATGGGTAAGGCAGTCTCACCAGCGCACATATCTGGGTGTCATGGAGGAGGGCGTGTTCACTCCTACTAGAGCTTTCTGCTTAGCTATCCGAGGACTCCTCCGTACATACTGCTCTGACATTACACGACCCATTGGAGACCTAGAGCAGGGTTAATACAGCCAGTAGATCAAAATGCTTTCTATATAAATTATCTATACACTAGGCTTAATTTTGGGTGTCTATCATATAAAAGGTAACAGAATAGCTTTTCATGTTAACACACACTATTTGGGTTGGAAGAAAAATGTATGAGGAAACAGGCCGATGGCCTTACGACCAGGGGTCAGGGGGCCACTTATGATGGAAAACATTTGAAAAAAATCACATCTGTTTCTTCCAAGTTTTAATACCAAAACAACCATGTTAATAAACCCATACCTAATCTCTATTGCCTCTTGGTCTGCACTGAATTGCACTGACAGCTGGTGAAGCCTATTGCCAATAGAGGTCACTGGTGTTCCTTTCTTCTGCAGAACTTTCCTCACACCAGGACTTGCTTTTGCACTTGAACGCTGAGCATTTCTAAATGACTGGTTGGATGACATTGAGCGTCTGGGAGTTCCAGGAGTTAACAGTCTTCCACCCTGCTGCCCTGATCTTCCCTTTGAGTATCCAGACTTCCTCCTGTCTCCAGGTACCAGCTGTGGCTTATGCTGGGGTCTGGAACTCAGGGTACCTCTAGTAGCAGTTCTGTTTCCTGAGGCACTTTGTGCAGGAGTGAATATGTTCTTGAATCTCTGAAATACACTGATTGGTTCATCTGTAAAACAAAAATCTCATTTTTAATGCGCTGTGCAATGGACACAAATTATCTGCTTATCAACATATTTGTTTTACTTCTTGTTCCTTGGCAATATTTCTGTTTGTTGTTTCCAGTTGATATTAAATTAATGATATAAAAAATTTGAATGAAAAAAGAATATAAAACAGCGTCATGGATATAAACAAAAGGAAAATAGATAGCATATGCACAATTTAAAGGGTACTTATTCTTCCTTCCTTTTTTTTTTTTTTTTTTGAATAAAGTTTTTTTAGATAAATTCAAAATAACTTTGGGAAGTTTAAGGCATGTTATACTAAAGAGTATAATACACATTAAACCTCTAAAAATATCAAGGTAGTCTCTTTTAAAGATTTCAATTTTATCCTATAAGTTGAGCCTATCTAAGAAGAAGTCACCTTGTCTATGTCTCTTCCTATTCTGGTCTGGAGTATTCTCCCTGGAGGACAGCACCCTCCTCTTCCTGGCAGAACTGGGTTTGTGTGCCTCCTCGTGGACCACCTCCAGCAGGCTGTCCAGCTCCCACTTCTCTACTCTGGTGTCCCAGAACACTGGCATAAACACCTCGTACCTACTCCTGGAGATAAAAAATATATAAATAAAAATGCTAAATAAAAATTAGCAACATCAACAACAATAATAATAAATAATAGCACTCTGAAGAATGTGTTTCCTTTGCCTGTTAACCTTTTTTTCCAAATTTTAAAAATTTACAATTTTACTATAAACTTAGATCTAAAACTTCATCAGAAAAAAAAATTCATGCATAAAACAGTTATGTATGCCATATCACTAAATACTTACAAAAATTTAAGCTGCACAGAACAGTTTATTTCCATTTGTTTATTTACTGTTTCACTATGCAGAAAAGACTTACTTCTCAGGAGGTAAGTGTAGCAGTAGCTGAACCATATGACAGAATTCCTCAGCTTCTACAAGGTCTGCTTCACAGAGTTTCATAATGGTCAGCGCTGCAGCAAAGATGGCACCTACACCTGAAGGTAGAAGTGATATATCTTATATTATAATGGATCCCAAGAAAGTTTTCTAAATACATATAGATTAAGACCTGTCCACACAGATCTTTAAAAATAATTCCACTATGTAATAAGTATGTAACTGATAGATGTTAACAAAGTACTCTCAATCTATTTCACATATAAAAAAATCCCCAACACTCTTGTTAAGTATATGATCATAATAATATTACAGGATATGTAATACTTTAGGATAAGCCTGTCCCATATGCCAGTACTTATCTTCCAACATAAGCCTGTCCCATATGCCAGTACCTACCTTCCAATATAAGCCTGTCCCATATGCCAGTACCTACCTTCCAACATAAGCCTGTCCCATATCCCAGTACCTACCTTCCAATATAAGCCTGTCTCATATGCCAGTACCTACCTTCCAACATAAGCCTGTCCCATGTGCCAGTACCTACCTTCCAACATAAGCCTGTCCCATATGCCAGTACTTACCTTCCAACATAAGCCTGTCCCATATGCCAGTACCTACCTTCCAACATAAGCCTGTCCCATATGCCAGTACCTACCTTCCAACATAAGCCTGTCCCATATGCCAAGCACTGTGTCCCAGGAAGGGAGACTGGTGAACAGACCCATGAACCATGGAGTTATATACAGTAGAGGGTCTAAGTCCTTGGAATCCTAAAAGAAAAGAAAACATGCCAAAGAAAAGGAAATAAAGTGAGAAAAAAACCAAATGTTTTCCTCAAACAGCAAGACAGCAATAGTGATTGATGTTACAGAGATTTAAGCATTCTTTGATAAAAGACAATTATATAGTTGCATTATTGTGAGTCTTTAATAATGCATGTGTCTTACCTTCCTGCTCTGCTATCAATATTCACACTGCTGTTCATAATTATCAACTATTCCACCACTTATGAAAACCACAAACAATGTGGAAACAGTAATTACAATATTGGGAATGGAATTACTTATTCTACTCACCAAAAGTTGTGACAGACTGGGCAGTCTGTCTTTGAGCAATTTCTTGAAAACACTTGCATGAGACTGCACCCTGATTAAGTAAAAGGACAGGGCAAGGTGAATAACAGAGCTTCATAATATGTTCACTATAACTGCCTTGTTTTGTGGTTGTAAGAAAATAAGTATGAAAATATGACCTAGTGGCTTTACTACCAGGGGTCTGAGAGCTGGTTAAGGCTGGATACTGCAAATGTCTATATCAGACTAAAATTCTAAAAAGGTCAACTTCTTACTTTTTGAGATGTGAATCAAAGAATCCCATCAGGTATTTCTGCCTCTCAAACAAAGCCACAGTGCACCAGAAGGCATCTTGTTCCTGCATGTGCATCAGGAGGAGACCAGAGATGAAACTCATACCTGCAAGAACATTGATAAAACTTGTACAGGTCTGCAATAACATTGGGCAGACATAATGGAATGAATGTGAGCCATGATCTCAGCCAAAATACTTTTTTATTCAACAGTTCAATATATTAGAATGTCAAAACACAAACACGTTTTGTCATTATGGCCACCTTTTGAAAATCTTTGTTAGTTAGGGTTTATATATGCCCCACCCCCCAAAAAAATAAATAAATAAATTTTTTAATGAAACCTTGCTGTCCTTGAGTACATGATAGAATTGGATTAACAACAATCAATGAAATAAAATATCCTGAAGTATACAACACTTGCCTTTAGGAAAAAATTAAGTATAATTTAATTCGAAATCAGGTTGTATTTCATTACCTTGGCAGTAACCAACTGCTGGATTGTATCTGACATAAGATGCTAAAACTCTGAAAAGTGACCCCTTGGTTTCCTTGGCTAGAGGCGTATTCTCCATAAACATCTTGTGTGTGGGGTAAGTTCTGCCTGGAATGATGGCATATTTCTTATGTAAAATTTACATATTATTAATATTTGTCATTGACTGATATATGCCAGTTGTAAGAAACAAAATGACATTTTGCAAAAGGGAATTTCTTGTCAATACAAAATCTGTTACAAGATAACAAATAAGATTAAATATTAATGTAATATCAGTTTAATAAACATTGTTCATATATAAACAAAGCAGTAGGAGATAAGTTATGTGTGCTGACATCAGCCATACTTAAGTCTAAGAAAATCTGCCTAACAATATGTATGTCAATGCCGCCACCAGCCACTATCTGGTCATTGTCCTCATCTTCTAGCTCCCCAAGAGCATGGAGAACTTTCTTATTTCCATATTCACTAATTCCAAGGTCTACCAGCTGTTCTCTTATTGCTGCTACACTAGACTGGAATTAAATCATTATATTGTGGGCATGTAAAAATACAGAGACAACAAGTCTGTAACAAATTACTTAAAACTTACACCATGATGTACAATAATATAGATGTACACAAGGAGGCACCTTATGGAACAAAATTCATAGATTTTCATTTCATTCAAGCAGACTACAATATATCTAGTATTCTATGCAGTCATGTTAAGAAAATATATCATAGCATTTAAAACTAAATTGTTGACAAATATCTAAGGATGGGTAAAAGGTATCGTTACCTTATAGCAAAACTTAGATGTGGTCTTCAAGCTGTCCATCTCCAGTAAAGTCTGCCAGAGCCAGGACCTATGAGGGTCTGGTACACCTCCTTTACTCAGCATAGACCTCAACTGAAACATGTATACAACGGATGCAGAGCAGGAAATTTTTTTAATCTTTTATGCAGTTTATCTGTTGTTGTAATGTGTGGGAAAATATTAGTAGCTTATGTGCTTTATAATCTTGAGAAGCAAATTCAAATGTACCTTAGCAAACTTTCTGTCAGCTTTGAGGTGATCCCAGTTTTTCATCAATTCTTCCCATTTCCCATCCTCATCTACACACCGCTCCAGTGGGTGCTTCCTGAATGTATATTTTGAAAGACTGTACAATGATGAAAGTGGGTTAAAAACTGTACATAAACACGTGATAAAATGTATATACATGTATTTATACAAGAACAACAGTGGAAGTACACGAAGTGTAAATAGTGATTAAAATCACACTTTTAGTGAAATCAAACTTTTTCCTCCAATGATATAACCCCGACCCCCTTGCCTCAGTTTGCGGACTTACATGCTGTTATGGTACTGTTAGCATTTAACTTTTAAGGCTGCAAACTGAGGCAACCTTACCTCCACCCCAAAGCTCGTGCATGTACATATATTTCAAATTACAGCATGCCGATAATATATCAAGCACAGCATCAATTTTTATTGATCTACGTCTTGTTGATTATAACATTGATAGCTACTTACTGGTATGTATTGCACCTGGAACTTTTATTACCGGAGTTTTGAGCAAACACGGCGAAACCATATGAGTCGAATCCTTCTACACTCTCCAACCATTTTTCTCGAAGTTGTGAATAGCTAATGCTTTGATCTCCCGAATGCATATTCTCTAAGGTGACTTACAGCTTTCAAGGGATAGTGATCAACGATAAAACATATAAGCACCATGAAATGTCAATAAAAGATTGAACTATTAGATAAATTCACTTCAAAAATTCCGCCATGTTTTATATTTTCAACCGCACGAGGAACAGGACTAGGAATGATTAGAAAAAAATATAACATTTTATTACTATTCTAGAAAAATAAAATCTAAAATGAGCAGGCAAATTTCAGGTTTAAAATTTTCTCCATTTCGATGAAGTTAATAGACAGGTTAATTTTGATCATTTCGGAATAATGATCCTTCCTTTTTTTATATGTTGACCTCGTTTCCGTAAATAGGTCAATTTGGGTCAAAAACCTTGCAGACGACGTGTTTATAAATACAAGACAAATGCAAGAGAAAAACGAAAGAGGTCTTTTTACTAGACAGCCAGGTTTATATTTTTATTCATCATGATGAACTTTTAAAAAGAAGTTCTACTGTAATAAAATATAAATTGTTAAATGTAATTACGTGCATATTTTACCATGTTATTATAAGTAACTTTTTTACCAAGATCAGTAACTTGAGTAAGAATTCATAAATAAACACTTGTCCAGCCATGGTAATTATTTTTGTTCAGCCGTAGATCTGCCGATTTTTTTTTCCAAACCTAATAGTAAGACTTACTTTGCATACGTATATGATAACAAAATTGTAGAGAGTAAATGTATCTTATTCAAATAATAACGCCATCCTTTGCAGCACGAATGTTACTGGTAGATTTTTCTTCAAACTTTGATGCTGATACCGGTCATAGCCTGACCCAAGCTTTGGAAAACTATTTTGCATTAGTATGCAATCTTGGAGGGCCAAACAGAACTCCATTTTTTGGTCTCATTAGTCTGAGTGACTACCCAGAGGTAACATATTGTACCATTTCTATATTTGAGTACATCCATGACCTTTGAGTGTGAATTAAAGACGTTGATTTTGTACAATTTAACTTATTTCTAGCGCTGTTACTTTGTGTGATTTATATGTATGAAATTAAATTAATAATGTTTGATCACAAAGCCAGATGTGTATATAGACAATGCCTGTGAGTTACACTCTGTCAACACTCACTGTCTTAATAGATACCGGTCGATAAGAAAATCTGTTGTTTATACAGATCATAGAGTTTAAAATGTACGTTTTGTCTCCCAGCTTACATTAATTTTTCACATTTTTTCCTCTAGACCTTATTTCCCCTACAAACAGTGCGGGCTTCCTTTCCCCGACTTCAGGCAGCGCTAAATGAACTTAAGAACTGTCACAGGACAAGCTTATTGTGCCACAGAAGAGGGGGTTGTCTTGACCAAGGGATTAGCGAAGCTTTGGCACAATTCAAGAGGCAGGCACAGAATTTATTTCAGGTAAAGGCTAAATGCAGACTTTCATGGTTTTTTAATTTCACTTATTATTATTTAAGGGGTTCAGAAATTCATGAGATTGGGAAATATATATTTTACTTACCTTGTATTTTACAATGATTTTTTACTAATAAGTGCTGCCTCTATTGTTTGATATTTAAAAGAAAGGTTGGTGTATAAAAAACTTGAAATAAAGTAAAGAAATCACTTGGTAGTAAAGGCAAGTCTTTTTAATGTAATATATTCATCAGAGTAATAATTTTGTTGTATTATATTTTAAGATTTCAGGATATTGGAATCAGCTTGAGATCACTGTTATAACATGCCAGACTAGTGCAAGTATAGTCAAGCAGGTTGAAAAATTGTCATCCAAGCTGGATTTAGATAACCTAAAGGTATGTTCTTAGAAAGTATATAACCAAAAGTTTTTTTTTTTTTTTGCTATAAGACAGTTTTTTTATAATAACTACTTTTATTCTTTTTTACATTTCTTTTTGTTCTTATAAAATTACTAATTTGTCACCAAATCAGTTTTGATTTTCTTGCTTCTTTAGTGAAAGACAGTTGTCCGGTATTAGATGGAAATTTTACAGACTGGCATGAAATGAGTCAAGTTGTGTAGTAAATATTAGATATGTATCATTATGTGAGACTTTTTTTACGTGTTTTCTACAACACTGGAAGTTAAATAAATTATTCAAGAAATTATGGATTTCTTCCACTAATTTTTACTTAATTTAAATTTTATGTATTATTCTTTAAATCTTCAGAAAATCCAGGTGGTTTGTGTCAATAATCCCGACCAGGTGTCAGTGCTGGATGACATTGGAGATGTCACAGATAGTAGTNTATCTTTGAGCAATTTCTTGAAAACACTTGCATGAGACTGCACCCTGATTAAGTAAAAGGACAGGGCAAGGTGAATAACAGAGCTTCATAATATGTTCACTATAACTGCCTTGTTTTGTGGTTGTAAGAAAATAAGTATGAAAATATGACCTAGTGGCTTTACTACCAGGGGTCTGAGAGCTGGTTAAGGCTGGATACTGCAAATGTCTATATCAGACTAAAATTCTAAAAAGGTCAACTTCTTACTTTTTGAGATGTGAATCAAAGAATCCCATCAGGTATTTCTGCCTCTCAAACAAAGCCACAGTGCACCAGAAGGCATCTTGTTCCTGCATGTGCATCAGGAGGAGACCAGAGATGAAACTCATACCTGCAAACACATTGATAAAACTTGTACAGGTCTGCAATAACATTGGGCAGACATAATGGAATGAATGTGAGCCATGATCTCAGCCAAAATACTTTTTTATTCAACAGTTCAATATATTAGAATGTCGAAACACAAACACGTTTTGTCATTATGGCCACCTTTTGAAAATCTTTGTTAGTTAGGGTTTATTTATGCCTCACCCCCAAAAAAAATAAATAATTTTTTTAATGAAACCTTGCTGTCCTTGAGTACATGATAGAATTGGATTAACAACAATCAATGAAATAAAATATCCTGAAGTATACAACACTTGCCTTTAGGGAAAAATTAAGTATAATTTAATTCGAAATCAGGTTGTATTTCATTACCTTGGCAGTAACCGACTGCTGGATTGTATCTGACATAAGATGCTAAAACTCTGAAAAGTGACCCCTTGGTTTCCTTGGCTAGAGGCGTATTCTCCATAAACATCTTGTGTGTGGGGTAAGTTCTGCCTGGAATGATGGCATATTTCTTATGTAAAATTTACATATTATTAATATTTGTCATTGACTGATATATGCCAGTTGTAAGAAACAAAATGGCATTTTGCGAAAGGGAATTTCTTGTCAATACAAAATCTGTTACAAGATAACAAATAAGATTAAATATAAATGTAATGTCAGTTTAATAAACATTGTTCATATATAAACAAAGCAGTAGGAGATAAGTTATGTGTGCTGACATCAGCCAGAGTAACATGACCATACTTAAGTCTAAGAAAATCTGCCTAACAATATGTATGTCAATGCCACCACCAGCCACTATCTGGTCATTGTCCTCATCTTCCAGCTCCCCAAGAGCATGGAGAACTTTCTTATTTCCATATTCACTAATTCCAAGGTCTACCAGCTGTTCTCTTATTGCTGCTACACTAGACTGGAATTAAATCATTATATTGTGGGCATGTAAAAATACAGAGACAACAAGTCTGTAACAAATTACTTAAAACTTACACCATGATGTACAATAATATAGATGTACACAATGAGGCACCTTATGAAACAAAGTTAATAGATTTTCATTTCATTCAAGCAGACTACAATATATCTAGTATTCTGTGCAGTCATGTTAAGAAAATATATCATAGCATTTAAAACTAAATTGTTGACAAATATCTAAGGATGGGTAAAAGGTATCGTTACCTTATAGCAAAACTTAGATGTGGTCTTCAAGCTGTCCATCTCCAGTAAAGTCTGCCAGAGCCAGGACCTATGAGGGTCTGGTACACCTCCTTTACTCAGCATAGACCTCAACTGAAACATGTATACAACGGATTCAGAGCAGGAAATTTTTTTAATCTTTCATGCAGTTTATCTGTTGTTGTAATGTGTGGGAAAATATTAGTAGCTTATGTGCTTTATAATCTTGAGAAGCAAATTCAAATGTACCTTTGCAAACTTTCTGTCAGCTTTGAGGTGATCCCAGTTTTTCATCAATTCTTCCCATTTCCCATCCTCATCTACACACCGCTCCAGTGGGTGCTTCCTGAATGTATATTTTGAAAACTGTACAATGATGAAAGTGGGTTGAAAACTGTACATAAACACGTGATAAAATGTATATATTTATACAAGAACATCAGTGGAAATACAAGAAGTGCAAATAGTGCTTAAAACCACACTTTTAGTTAAATCAAACTTTTTCCTCCAATAATATAACCCCAACCCCCTTGCCTCAGTTTGCGGCCTTACATGCTGTTATGGTAAGGTTAGCATTTAACTTTTAAGGCTGCAAACTGAGGCAACTTTACCCCCACCCCAAAGCTCGTGCATGTACATATATTTCAAATTACAGCATGCCGATAATATATCAAGCACAGCATCAATTTTTATTGACGTACGTCTTACAGGCCCGTAGCCAGGGGGGTTCGGGGGGTTCGAAAGAACCCCCCCTTTTTGCAGGCAAAAGGTGAAATTTAATTAAGGTACATGAAAGTTTTATGGTAAAAGGTCCACTTTTTCAGAAAAAGAACCCCCCTTTTGAAATTTCTGGCTACGGGCCCGTCTTATATCTTGAAAGTATACACGACTTGTTGATTATAACACTGATTACTACTTACTGGTATGTATTGCACCTGGAACTTTTATTACCGGAGTTTTGAGCAAACACGGCGAAACCATATGAGTCGAATCCTTCTACACTCTCCAACCATTTTTCTCGAAGTTGTGAATAGCTAATGCTTTGATCTCCCGAATGCATATTCGCTGAGGTGACTAACAGCTTTCAAGGTATAATCACCAACGATAGAACATATAAGCACCATGAAATGTCAATAAAAGATTGAACTATAGATAAATTCACTTCAAAAATTCCGCCATGTTTTATATTTTCAACCGCACGAGGAACAGAACTAAGAATGATTAGAAAAACATATAACATTTTATTACTATTCAAGTAAAAATTAAAGCTAAAATGAGCAGGCAAATTTCAGATTTAAAACTTTCTCCGTTTTGATAAAGTTCATTGACAGGTTAATTTTGATCATTTTGGAATAACGATTCTTATTTTTTTTATATGTTGACCTCGTTTCCGTAAATAGGTCAATTTGGGTCAAAACCCTTGCAGACGACGTGTTTGTAAACAAGTACAAATGCAAGAGAAAAACGAAAGAGGTCTTTTTACTAGACAGCCAGGTATATATTTTTATTCATCAAGACGAACATTTAAAAAGAAGTTCTATTGAAATAAAATGTAAATAGTTAAATGTAATTACGTGCATATTTTACCATGTTATTATAAGTAACTTTTTACCAAGATCAGTAACTTGAGTAAGAATTATCATAAATAAACACTTGTCCAGCCATGGTAACTATTTTTGTACAGCCGTAGATCTACCGATTGTTTTTTCCAAACCTAATAGTAAGACTTCCTTTGCATACGTATATGATAACAAAATTATAGCAAGTAAATATGTATCTTATTCAAATAATAACGCCATCCTTTGCAGCACGAATGTTACTGGTAGATTTTTCTTCAAACTTTGATGCTGATACCGGTCATAGCCTGACCCAAGCTTTGGAAAACTTTTTTGCGTTAGTATGCAATCTTGGAGGGCCAAACAGAACTCCATTTTTTGGTCTCATTAGTCTGAGTGACTACCCAGAGGTAATATAGTGTGCCATTTTTATATTGGAGTCCCTCCATGACCTTTGAGCATGAAAGACATATTGATTTTGTACAATTTAACTTATTTTCAGTGCTGTTACTTTGTGTAATTTATATGTATTAAATTAAATTAATAATGTTTGATCACTAACTCAGATGTGTAGACAATGCCTGTGAGTTATACTCTGTGAACTCTCACTGTCTTAATATAGATACCGGCCGATAAGATAATCTGTTGTTTATACAGATCATTGAGTTTAAAATGTACATTTTGTCTCCAAGCTTACATTAAGTTTTTACATTATTTCCTCTAGACCTTATTTCCCCTACAAACAGTGCGGGCTTCCTTTCCGAGACTTCAGGCAGCGCTAAATGAACTTAAGAACTGTCACAGGACAAGCTTAATGTGCCACAGAAGAGGGGGTTGTCTTGACCAAGGGATTAGCGAAGCTTTGGCACAATTCAAGAGACAGGCACAGAATTTATTTCAGGTATACTGAAGTAGGCTAAATGCAGACTTTTGTAGGTTTTTTAATTTCACTTATTATTGTTTAAGGGGTTCAGAAATTCATGAGATTGGGAAATATATTTTTTTACTTACCTTGTATTTTACAATGATTTTTACTAATATAAGTGCTACCTGTATTGTTTGATATTTAAAAGAAAGGTTGGTGTATAAAAAACTTGAAATAAAGTAAAGAAATCATTTGGTAATAAAGGCAAGTCTTTTTAATGTAAAATATTTATCAGAGTACTAATTTTGTTGTATTATATTTTAAGATTTCAGGATATTGGAATCAGCTTGAGATCACTGTTATAACATGCCAGACTAGTGCAAGTATAGTCAAGCAGGTTGAAAAATTGTCATCCAAGCTGGATTTAGATAACCTAAAGGTATGTTCTTAGAAAGTATATAACCAAAAGTTTTTTTTTTTTTTGCTATAAGACAGTTTTTTTATAATAACTACTTTTATTCTTTTTTACATTTCTTTTTGTTCGTATAAAATTACTAATTTGTCACCAAATCATTTTTGATTTTCTTGCTTTCTTTAGTGAAAGACAGTTGTCTGATATTAGGTGGAAATTTTGCAGACTGGCATGAAATGAGTCAAGTTGTGTAGTAAAAATTAGATATGTATGTGAGACTTTCTTGTGTTTTCTACAACACTGGAACTTCCAGTGGAAGTTAAATAAATTATTCAAGAGATTATGGATGTCTTCCACTAATTTTTACTTAATTTAAATTTTATATATTATTCTTTAAATCTTCAGAAAATCCAGGTGGTTTGTGTCAATAATCCAGATCAGGTGTCAGTGCTTGATGACATTGGAGATGTCACAGATAGTAGTCAGAGGAGTGATGTGTCCCTGGGCTCCTCTAGCAGTGGAGGTACGGAAGGCATGGTGGAGGTGGTCAATATGGATAATGGTAAGAGACAGTAGTTATTATTGATATATAGTAGTCAGAGGAGTGATGTGTCCCTGGGTTCCTCTAGTAGTGGAGGTATGGAAGGCATTGTGGAGGTGGTCAATATGGATAATGGTAAGAGACAGTAGTTATTATTGATATATAGTAGTCAGAGGAGTGATGTGTCCCTGGGTTCCTCTAGTAGTGGAGGTATGGAGGGCATGGTGGAGGTTGTGAATATGGATAATGGTAAGAGGCAGATTATAGTAACAGACATAATTTAGCTGTGGTCAACATTTATTATGGTTGATAATGGTAAGAGACAAAAATCTAGATGTCGTTAATATTGATAATGGTAAGATTTAGAAATTAGAGGTGGTTCCTATATTGATAATGGTAATATTAAAGAGACAGAAAGAATTGTAATAAGGAATGAAAGGGGTCTCTACTCTATGTGTTTATAGAGTATTTGAAATACAGTAGTTGTAGCTTTTATCATTGAGAGAAGAAACGAAGCTGAAGTATGACTAGATTACTCTAGAACTAAGTATCAAACAAATGAAGTAATTGAATTAGAACGAATTATTTTTGTTTCCAGATGTTCTTATTTTTCAAGATTTCTTTAAAACCTGGTTATATGATGCCAGCACAGACAAAGAACACTTACATCTAGTGTTACCAGGTGAGTGCAGTATAAGGGAAGTAAACACTGAAAGGGGAATAAGTTTATGCCTGTGTCTCATTATAATGTGTTTGATGCAAGAGAGAGAGAGAGAGAGAGAGAGAGAGAGAGAGAGAGAGAGGACATATAATCTATGCGATTGTGGTTCAGATGTATGGCAGTATTTTCATGGTGAACTCAGAATTTTCAATCTTAACTTTAAATATGTCTGATGCAGTTTTGATAAGAAAGTATTTTCTCACTTGTTTCAGACTCATTGACAATAAAATGTGACCTCCATGAAAGATTGCTGGACCCTAGTCTGTTACCCTTCAACTTGCAGTTTGTATGTTTCTGAAAAATTGATTAAATTTTTAATTTCTTTCAAAGTTGATCTGTGTCATCACAGATTTAACACTGGTTAACTGCAAAGATTTATAAGAATTATAAGATGGTGATTAGATAATTTTGATAATTTTCCAATAAATGATTTTAAGTTTGGCAAATTAGCACATTTTTTTCCAATTCTAATTCATAATATACATCAGTATATGTTGTTTTATTTTTTCCATAACCTCATTTTCAGCAACTGCAGCCGGACTCCTTTATGTCCAAACCTGTGATCCCCACAGTCAAGAAAGGTCAAAATACTGTGGTCCCTGTACATAGACTGCTAGTGAAGAACCTGCTGCCTGCTAACTCCATCTGTGAAAGTGTAGTCTATGGATATGTAAGTGAAAAAGAAGGCAAATGTCATGTATTATTTTTGTCAATCATTTTTTGTTTGAAAAATATTTTTGGTTTAATCAAAGTGGAAGTTTTGATTCATCTATTTCTATTATACTAAGTCTATATTATTTTATTATACAATAACTAATATTTGTAATCTCTGTTTCAAGTGAGATCCTGGAGTAATTACCATGAGTAATATTATTATCTAGTTGTCCTGTTTCAGCCCCAGGTAATGAGACCCACCACCTGTTGGAAGATAGACTGGGATGAACTGGAGATGAATCAGCAGCTATTCCAGGCCATGTGCTCCCTCTTACAAGAAAAGGTATTACAGACTGCTATTTAGTGAGAGAATACATGATTTGCGTGATGGCTGGGGCATTTTCTTCATCTTTTTTTTTTGAAAATTTTTGTACTTTGAAAACATGGTATATCTTTTATGTCATAACTTAGAATGTGATGACAACATTTGCTTTTTTAGGAAATGGTACTTTTAGCTTGTACAGCTGAAGTGAAGTCAGAGAACTCTTATGCCAGTGATAGTCCCACCAGTCCTTGTGGACACTTCCTTCTCTTGCCTTCCCACTCCTGCTCTGTCCTCATCAAACCCATAGCAGTCAGTGAGCTCATGATGCCATGTGACTTCACTGTGCCAAAGGAAAATCCCTGTCAGGACAGTGTGGATGCTGTACAGGCAGCTCTTAAAAAGGTATTGCTTATTCATTGTAGGTCAATTCAGTGCAAGGTAAATGAAAAAGATGGATTTTTAACTTACTGCATTTTTCATAAGCTGATTATAATTATCTTGGTAAGATTCTGAGTGTGGCAGGACACTTCAAACCCCATTTCATCTTTTCCATAATTGACAGCTACATGAAGTGTTGTGCATTCCTACCCATGTACCAAGTAGTTTTATGTGATGTGTTAATATTGATGACCATAAAACAGCATCAAGTTGACAGTCTACTTTATAACAACACAGGTTAAAGTGCTAGAGATGTACAACCCACTGCTAACACAGTCCGGACTGTACCAGGCTCTGATAAAACGTCTGTCTGGTGGCTCATCGGGAAATAAAAATCTCAAGAGAAGACTTGGTGTAACCACACAGGTATAAAAATTTCTTACCATATTTTACTTCAACATGCTGACAGTATAATGCATTTTTACATTATTGGTTGATGCTATAATGATCTGAAATGTGTTGCTATTATAAAGGATAGAAGCATATTTCTCATATCCTGTTACGTGATTTTTATCAAACTGCTCACCTTTTAGTGTCCCGGCGCCACAAGAGGCAGAGGAAGAGGGAGGACGCAGCCCGGTTTTTATTATGCACCAAAATCACAGAAGAGGTTCTGCTACAACTCATTTATTGCTGATAATGATGACCCCTTCCCAACACAGCTTTGATATTTTACATGGCACGCTGCCTGGATGTTTTCTGTTCAGAGACTAAAACCATGAGAATGTTTTTTTTTTTTTTTTTGAAAGCCACCTCCTAAATGATATCAAGATGCATGGGTCTTTGAAATTTGCCAGAATCCACTGTAACAGGAGAGTTTCCCATCTTGTATCTAGACAAAGCTAATTTTATTTATTGTAAGTATATTTATATCTTCTAAAAATTATAGCTTGTTTCCACACACAAATAAAACAACACATTTTCAAGTTTTGCATATTTTTTCATTAAAAACTGTTTGAAATATTACAGTCTTTTTTTGTATTACAAAATTATCATTTCAACTGATTAGAGCCAGTTCTACTGGACATAGAAAACAATACACATCATGACAATCAATACTTGGTCTTCCACTAATAAATGAACACAACCCACAGCCGCCTTAGCATTATATTGCACAGAAGCTCTCTGTATGAAAAAAATTAGGAGGAAACGGACATATGACAACATGCAGCAATGTCTACATTATACTGTCTAGCGTCTTCTCCTACTTGCACAAGGTTAAATAAAATTTGCAACAAAAAGTCCAAAGCTGCAGCAACTTGCACTTCTATCTTTAATGAAATTTGAACTATCTTCTGCATCAAAATTTTACCCTTTACAATTATAAACAAAACAAAATGATCTGCCAAAAGCACTAATTCTACAAACACCATAACCTGATTTAACACAGGACTAAACAACCTAAAGCAACAAGCTACAAGGCTATTTGACCTCGTAAGTGTTTTATAACTTTATAGGCAAAAGGGGAAGCCTTAGATATGATATAAAGAATTTACAAAAGCTGCAAGAAACTTGTGATAAAATACTGTTCGGAAATGCAATTCAAACTTGAACTGGTCTTTGATATTAATGATCAATTCTTTTGTAACAGAAGCAATACTGAGGAGGATAACATTGTCTTCAATACAAAAAATATCCAATTAGCACCTTGAAAAATGTGTTTAAAAAAGTACAAAAATTGTGGCAAAGTTTCGACTGAGGATGAATTTACAATGGGACTGTTTTAATTTTTCTCTAAAACAGAACAATTGAACATTGACACCATGATAACAAACACAAGGCATGATCTATTCACTTCTATAGTAAACCTAAACAAGAACTACATTTGTGCTTTGCTACTAATACATAAGAATGCAAATTGACGGGCCTGGCAAAAACATTAAAGGCTATCAGAAGCAAAACAACTCGCATAAACAAAAAAAAAAAAAAAAAAAAAAAAAAAATTGTAATGCGCTGTTGGCCCAATCGAAGAAATTCTCTATATTATTTAGCTCCTTTCAATCACATTGGCATAATTTCCAGACAGGTAAATATTGTGAAAATATCACATAAATAATGAAATGAAATATATCACATTGTTGAAGATGTCGGATTATTTCTGACATGTGTTTACTATATTAAATTAAGTTTATCTACCTCTCTTGTCTAAATTCTATCTCTTTCTTACTTTCCATATAGAATATTAAATGTAATTTTATTGCAAAAGAAATAAATTAAAATGAAAATAGTTCTTAATATCTATAAGAGCTCTGACTGAAACCCCATATTGGAATGCTGATTTTCTGTCTTTTTACAGAGAAATTTTCTGTAATCTGAAACACTTTCAAACTTAAAGACAATATCACTGATAACTGTGAAGTATAAGGTGCTTGTTAATATATACTTAGATTCCTTAAAATAAAAGAAAACACTACATCATTCATTTTTTTTGTTTAGGTGGATAGAATTAACTGATTTAGTATAAAAGTTAACCTTCTTTCATGAAAGTAACCAATTTTTTTGGTCTTCAAACCAGAAAACCTGTCATTAAAGAAAAATTTACAGTTACTGTTTTACAGTTTTAAAGAAAATTCCCTTAAAACAAAAAATACGAATGAGAGATATGGGGTGACAAAAAAAACTTGACATTGCCAACAACTAAGAATAAAACATTAATATCTTGTTTAATCTTTTTAAAAAATGTAAGTTGCAGAAGCCACCTGCTGTGTAATAAAGTAACTTTTAAATAGGTACACACAAATGGGTCACACTTTTGGTACAAGGTAAGGTTTAGAAGGTCACTGGTGTAACAAGTTTGAGCGAGTTGGGTTTTAAGAAATCAAACAAGAAACCATAGAAAAATATATATCCACTGACAGCTTTCAGTAATCAAAAAATTTTTATTTATATGTCAGTAGTCTATATTTATGTAAATAGCAGCAATTAGTCCTTTGGTTTTGACTTTCCTTTCTTTTTCTTCTTTCCCTCGTCTTTTGGTTTGTATTCTTCCGGGTGTTCCAGTATTTTCTTGCACTGTATAGCCTTCAGTCTGTCTCTGGCTGGTTCAAAGGAGGACTGTAGCCCCAGGGTGGACTCGTAGAACATCACAGCTTTGGGCCAGTCACCCTGGTCAGATAATATAAGATATATCACCATAATGACCACATGATGACTTGGGCACGTCATTTTGCAGCAGATACACTCAAATTTTACACAAAAATATCAATTTGTATCAATTACCTAGTGGTTTACTTATTTCAAAATTTTCTGATGATATGCCTAATAATTTAAGATAAAAATTTTCACACAGAAGCCCAATGTCATGATGGTCTTCTCTCTTCTTTGATGATAAACATTGAAAACAACAGATTTAGTTCAAGAAGAAACTATTCCAGTGCACCCTCCATGTTTTCTTGTATATGTGACAGTACGCCCCTCACCTTGGCAGCGTAGATATTAGCCAGCGTGAAGTGGATTACCACAATCCTGGGAGACGTCTCCAGCGCCATGTTGATTACCACAATGGCGTCATTCAGACGACCAGACTTGTAGAGAACATTGGCCATACTGAGCAGTGAAATATCCTGAAAAGAAAGAAAATGTTACCAATTCTTTATCCAGATAAAATTTTTAGCTGTAAGAATAAAGTAGGAATAAATGGCTTGGTTGCATTTACAGATGGGGGTCTTGGGGATGCTTAAAGTTAGAAAACTGCAAAAAAAAAAAAAATGTGTTTTTCACAAAGCAGTAAGTGATAATCAAATATACAGCCTTTAATCAAATGTGTTATTCTAAATTATAATTTTATTACAGCAAATATTTACTTTATTCCATTATAAATATTCGCATGAAAAACTGTACAGTGTGTTGATTTCACTCACCCTCATGTCCCTGGGAGCAGTGTTCAGTGCCATACGCAGGCAGTTCACAGCATGTTTGGCATTGCCTTCCACTCTCCAGTAGAGGGCAGCTAAGTTGCCCAACACCCATGAGGTGCCATTCTGAACAAAATTTAATATAACAGCTTTGTAATATTGCTTTTTCAGAAAAAGATAGAGACTGAAAAACTTGAAGCAGCAAACTTTGGCAATACAACCAAAAAGGTAGTTTCATGAAGGGAAAAATTCAGTATTTCACCAAAATATTCCTCCACCAATTCAAAGCCATGTAGAAGAGATAAGTATTTTTGAAAAATTCATCTTTTTTTCAATCACTCTTGAAATCAAAGTATGAAAGGAATATAGAGATCAAATGTCTTCCATTTTAAAACATTTCTTGGTGGTGTTTCTGGTCAAAATTTACCTTCTTCAAAGCATGGGCTATCCTGGTTCCCACCACTTCACCTGGCTCCCCATCATCATCTCCTAGAGATTGTAACACCTGGAATATACACAGAGGACATGTGTTACATTGAAAACACATATAGATATCTGCTTAGAATTGGTCACCTGGCTCCAGAAATTGTAACACCTGGAATATACACAGAGGACACATGAGTCATATTGAAAACACATCATGAAATTTTTTTATTACATATAAAGTGATACAAAGGTACCAAGTGTTACCTCCTTAAGGCCAGTCTCGGCGGCGTACTCCAGGCCGTTCCTCTCCGCAATCCCCTTGATGTGGTCAAGAGACTGGGCACTGGCACCAAAGTCCTTCTCACACACGGGCTCCTCCCACTCCCCACGGATCTTCTTAGAGAAGTTCACATGATGTTTAGGACTGGAAACATTGAAATGGCATATAAATTACAGTAAAAACTTGATAAGCAATCACAGGTGAAAGACAACACTGCACAAATTGCTCAACTGCAAAATCTGTCAATCTCTCTTAAATTAGGTAAGTTTACACATGCACAATTTGCTCAAAAATGTCTCTTCCATTAGTTTCATCACAACTCAGCCGTTAATATACATTATACATAATATACATGCTTAGAAATTATGAAAATACATTATTTCACAACATGTCTTCAACAAATAAGTCCCTAGAGTTTGATAATCTTTACTGCTCCCATTGTCTACTTTCATGCATTTTGTAAATAAATTTCATGCAATTCTGCATAATTAATAATTAAAATGTTCTTAAATGTGGTATCATCCATAATATCAGTGAATTTTTTACAGCTACTGACAAAAGAAACTACTGCTCATTTCAAACACACAGCTATTAACTGTTCAACATTATCAACATTATCATCCTCATAACACCTGTTAAGTGAAGACTTACTCTATTCCTTTGGCAGTTACAGACAGCCAGGTACTGGTGAATTTCTTAAAGTCAATTTTCTTATGATCCTGGCATTCATCCCAGGTTGGAATGGACAAAGCTTTGCGGGCCACTATGTGCTTGGTGGTATCTGAGGGAAAGAAGAAAATAGAGGGATTTAGTCTCTGTTTTATCTATCAAATTTTCCTATTAATATCTAGAGAATTTTATACATCTCACATAAGGGCTAAAAGGATAATTTTTGTGTAATCATGAATTGCCTAAGATACTCTATTCTTTCAGTTTTTTATACAGTAAATTAATTTTTTAAGAAAGAAAATATCAATTGTAAACAATATAATCAATTTTTTTTCCCATTCAAACCAACCCTCACCTGGTAGCTCACTGTCAGGTATATCGGGAAGCTGGACATCTTCTACCTGTTCAATGGCGGCATTGATGACCTCCTCAAGGTCGCTGGGGTCGTCTGACTGGAGGTATACTGGCTGAAGCATGGGCTTTTCTTTGTTTTTCTTAGGCACTTTACTGTCATTGCTTTTGATGCTGTCTTTCTTTTTGTCTTTCTCTATTTTATTGTTGTTATTGTTGTTGTTTGTGGTGGAGGAACTGCTTGCTGTGTTGGCGTGGTCACACGTTGCTCTGTCCAATTCCTCAAATTTTTGGTGAAAAACTGAAAGCTGATCAGCCTGAAGAAAAAAATAAAGTTCACTTAATAACAATTTAAACATATATCTACCAAATGAGGCAATAATAGGTTATCACTTAAATAATCATAATCAAGTTAGAATAAAATCAAATGTAAAACGTGACTTATAATGGTAATCTAACTGATCATTTCAAAATCACATGTGCTCAAAATGTTTCACCTACCAAAACACCAACAAGTGCCATGTTTCTTACTCACCATTGGCTTGAATATTTCCTGTGCACAACCTTCTGATTTCTTGCCATCTTTAAAAATAATGCATTCCTCTGGACTGACCTTGACCTCTGACGGAGAGTCGGAGAAGACCAGGTTTTGTGTTATCAACCCGTTGATGTTCTCCAGGCGGATGTGTGGACGGGAGTTGGCAGGCTAGAATTGCAGTGTACACTTATCAACTTTTTTTTTCAAAACATTTTATAATTCAAGAATGACAGTCACTTGTGTAACTTATCAAGTTTACCATCAGTCTGTGCAATATTTCAAGTCCAAGGTGAGAGACACACAGTTGATGATGATAATAATGACAACAACAAGGCACATGTCCAAGTGACACAAATGATTTAAAGGGTGTATTTAGAACAAGTTGATCCACGGACTGCACTCATAACATTAAAGGAAGATTGTCAGGTAAAAACTAAGCTGTAAGTTCAATCTTACCTGCATCAAATTGTGATCTTCACACTCTGGACTCTTACAGATCCCAATGTCTTTGTACAGCTGACCTATCTTATCCATCTCCAGTTCAGGATCAACTTTACAAAAGAAGTAAAGATACCATTAATATCATTAATATACATATGTGACTGGGTCTGAATAAAATCCTCATATTCTGGTAATCTCCTGAATAATTATCTCAGAATATAGTTTAATCTGTTAAAACATTAACTTTCAAACTGTTTTGTGTGAAATAAATATTATGCAACATAGGCTACCAAAATACCGAAGAACGAATTTATATAATGATAACATAAAGTTGGCAAATTGAAAAATATACTACATATGTATTAGGAATATGTTAATGGGTTACTAGTACTGACACATCATGTTCAGTGGACTATTGGCTTGTGGGTCCATGGTATTGTGTATACACATTTGGGCACCATTAGCCTCATCTGCCACTGCTTTCTCAAGTTTACGCATCAAAGTATCTGAAAACAAAAATATTTATACATATGTTAGATATATAGACTTTTATGAAGTCAGATCAGCTATCAGATTTTAATAATCACAAAATATAATTTATTGGTCACAATAAGAAGATTTATGTGGGATGAGATTATCAATTTTAGATAAGCTTCCCAGGCCTGAAAGGACAAACAGTTTTGATTGTCTAATTTTTTTTCTCTTATTATTGAAAATAAAATTATTAAAGGTATCAGATGGTGATGATGACAACATGTAACAGTATCAGAGGTTTGTAATTTGTAAGAACATTATGTAATTTGATACCAAATCTTGGCAACACTGAAGTGTGTGACATCTACACCTGACAAATTAACAATCACACATGTTCCATACAGTGTCTGTATTTAACACAAAATAAAACGGTGTATAAATATATCAGTCATGGCCCTTGAATATAAACAACAAAAATAAAAAGAAGTATATTATCAGAGTCATGCACGTACACCAACACCTAAAAATAAAAGGATGGTTAACGTCAATTAACTTAAAACTTATCAACACCGCTAAGTGTATACTTATTTTACACTAAATAACCAAAGTCACTGCTTCTTCTTGGAATTTTCTAGGCGCTTTATAAAAAATATGCACTTTCTTGTTTTTCTCATAATATTGATAATTCTCAAATTTATATCAACCAGTTTTATGTCCTTCAGGAAGTTTTTAACTACATCAAATGTCCCAAAACAATCCGTAACCTCAACCAAGTGATAAAACAAAACACCACCCAAATAAACCTTATTCTAATGACCCATCTAAAAAATAAACTACATTTCCTAAAACATCAAAACCAAACTAAAACATATTCCAGGTGTGTGATTTATGTCACCCAAGCTAAGTACAACTTGTATCCACAAAATAAAAAGACCTCAATTTCAAACTACAGGCAACCTTTACCTATGTACCTCAAGAGTTTATTACAGGATCCTCCACCATATTAACTTGAGGGGTGGGGACGGAGGGTATACATTTTTACTGGTGTACTACCTTTAAGATACTGGTTAAGATTTATATCAGGAAGTGTTTTGCGAACAACCATGATTTTCTTGCGAAGTCTACAGCATTTCTTACGCTTTGCTGAAATTATAGTCATAAAACATGGACATTTAATTATCTGTCTGAAGGACTTGACTATCTATTATATTGGATAAAGTTGCAATGCCCTTTTCTTCAGTTTATTTTTTTTTAACATTGCATAAATATCTTTGATATCTACACACCTCCGTAACCAAATTGCTTCTTTTCAAAAACAAGACATAAATATATCAAGAATATCATCATATCTTTTTCTATAACAGCAAAAACTCTGTAAGAAACATATGTATGAAAAAAAAAATAACAATCAACACAACCCTCAATAACAACACATTTGAGAATTTCAAAATAAGTGATCACAAAGGAAATGAAACCTCTATCAATTATACAATTTTTCAGAGATAGGACCAAGTAAAGAACCTGAATGTAGGCTTTGTCATAAACACTGTATGAATGAATTTGCTTTACATTACCTATATTTCAAAATGACACACATATGAAATGCACACACAAACACGTACATACAACACACACACGTGTACATATAACACATACATATAACACGCTCACACACACACACACACTACATACCTGGACACTGACATTTACACTCAGGTTTCATGTCACAGGACTGCTGACACTGTCCACACTACATACCTGGACACTGACATTTACACTCAGGTTTCATGTCACAGGACTGCTGACACTGTCCTGGAAGATTGCGGGTCCTGGTCTCCAGAATACAGGTCTCCTTGCCATGCTCCTAGGGGAAACGGGAAACAAATCCTAAAATGCTTCTGTTTAAAATCATACAAGATATACGTAATAACAAATACAATGGAGTTTGACTTTGTCTGAAAGTTATCTGCTTTAATGCTATAGATTGACAACAACAGCAACCTAAGAATATGCCACAGTGCATATATGTATTCATCTTTCCATGGGTTGCCAAATTATTTAATTTTAATAATAATAATAAAACTTGTATATGCATCAACATGCATCAACTCTTGTTTTACGTAAAACCTTACTAAACACTGTGCCATGCCATCAATATGTACAGAAAGACTAATTTCCTTTAAAAAAATTCAATCACCTCCAACTCATCTTGTTTTACTTACAGCCTTGCAGACAATCCTGCTCTCCGTCTCCTTACTATTGGGCTGACCAGGAGGGCCACACTTCTGTTGACCCGTACTCTCCTTTCTGGCGGGGTTTTGATTGTTTTGGTGATATTTTTGATAACATTTGACAGTTCTGAGCATAGATAGGAAGTCCTGGTTGTTAGGATCTGCCTTCAGAGCTTCTTCGTAGTGGTAGATAGCACCAGAGATATTCTGTTTGGCTGCCAAGATGTTCCCCAAGAAGTGGTGGGTAAGGGGCTGTAAATGTGAAGAAAGAAAAGTTGACGCATGACACCTTAGTATACACCATCATAACTTAAAATGTGCTGCAAAATTGAATACTGTTCATACTTGATGACAAAACATAAGCCTTCAAAGATTTAATCTGCATGCCAATTCTTTATTTTAATAACAATGTCTTCAACAAATCTACAATAATTGAATCATATTGGCTGAAATTTTGTGAAAAGTTCACTACACGATGTAGCATCCCCACCATATTCAAGGCATCAATCTGTCTCTTCTACTTTAATTTTCTGTCTCTTCTACTTCAATTTTACCCCTTTCAAATATCCATTCCTCACCTCAAAGTCATTGACAGCCAAGGCTTCCTTCATCAGTCTTACAGCATCATCCGTCCTGCCCCACTTATAGAGAATATTAGCCAGGTTGACTAGAGGAACATCTTTATATTCATCTGGGACAAAGTAGAGAGCTCTTCTCAGGCACTCTATGCCATGGTAGTTGTTGCCTATAATACGCCAGTAGAGTCCAGCTAGATTGTATAGTATCCAACTTGGTCCAATGTTCTGAAATAGGAAGTATGTTACAATGAGTTGGCTGCAAAAATTGACATCTCTCTAAAATTTCTACGAATAAGTTCTAGTGCCATAAGATAATTTTATCACATAAAATTACAGATCTTGGTATAGCAAACCTGTATGTATTTTTTAATGGAATAAAACTAGTGCAATAAATAATTTTAACTTGAAGCATAAAATATCAGTGACCCACTTTTTTAAGAGCTGTAAGGATCCTCTGACCCACTTCTTCCTCTGTCACATCCCCACCATTGACATGGCCCAGTAAGATCTGAAAGACAGAAAAATATATATTCATGATTTTAGGTAAAATTTCTTTCCATAAGATTTGTTGTCCTTTTACTTTAAATTAAAAGTGATTGTTTAACTTGGCCTCGTAAATCTTTAAAGTTAATTATACCCTCAGACAAGAGCACCCCACTTACCGGCTTGACCAGGGGGTCATAAAGTTTTAGAGGCACTTTGGTTCTCTCCTTGACTGCATCTATGTGATCATATGCCTTCTTGCCCTCCTCTATGTCCACCAGGGTGGCACAGACAGGGGGGTACCAGGGGAGGGGGTGCTCAGCACCTTCCTCTAGATCCTGCGCCTCATTCAGGAGGGCTTTCACTCTGAGGGGGAGAACGTTTTCTTTAGTAACATTTCCACTTAATAAAACTTTCATGTGAGATTTTCTGCATAAAGTAAGTTAAGTATTCATTTGGTAAAACTTCTATGTGAGATTTTATTGCACGAAGTAAGTAAACAACAAAATTTGCCAAACTCAAAAAATATTTCTACCTTCCATCTTCATTTATAAGCAATCCATAATATTATCCTGGATATAGACCATTGCACATATTTCAATTTACCTGTAAAAAGATTCACTTTCTAACAAGTATCTTTCTGATACTCACACAAAACCCTTGTTTTCTGGTGGTAAATACACCGTTGGGAAGGCATTCCAACTTGGAAATTTGTAATGATCACACTCATTTTTTGGAGGCCAATCTTTGTTTTTGAAAGGGAGATCATTCTGAAATGAATAAATTGTAAAAAATTATCAGGGTGTTAATTTTGTGACTGGTCAATTACAACCTAAAAAACATTAATTCTGGTATTATTCTCTCCACCCCCCCCCCACCCCCCACCACCCCCCAAAAAAAAGAATACACTGTAATAATTTAAAGAAAGAACAAGTTATAGATCCTGATATCTAAACTTACATATGATTTTGCTTTCTTAGTATACAGTGGTGGTTTTAAAGGCTGGCTATAATCTATACTTGTGGTATTCTTCAACTTCTCCTGAAAGTTAAGCAACAGGATACAACAGGCTGTAAAACAATAGGTTATACACAAGGAAAATACTAAACAATGGTTATTTGTCTAGAGCAACTCTTTATAGCGTACTTACAAAATCAATTTCTTATCTATGTAAATAGACACGATTTTGGGTTGTGGGAATAAAGTAGAAAGAAATTCCTCGTTGACCATATGTCTGGGGTCTTGGGACTACAAAAAGTGGATAACTGCCTAGAAAACTTTCAGACTTCCTATTTACATGAGAAATAAATCAGGTGTGTATATAAATATTTTATAACAGTCCTTTATTACACTTCACTATGCATCTACTTCATCAATTTCTATAATACCTTGGTTTCTTTTTCTTTCTTGGTTTCAGAATCAATGACCCCCTCCAAGTCTGGGCTAAGTGGCTGTCTTCTTCCCCACTTGCACTTTAAAACTTCCTTCCCCTCCTTCTCCACTGTGTGACAATATTCTCCTGTGTCAGAAAATAAATAAATAAATAAATAAATAAATAAATAGTTATTTGAATACATTGCCTCACAAAATTTGTTTGTCATCAAAACGTAAAGCATCACAAAACCAACCAAAAGTACGTACTGTTTGACAAATATTTGCGAACCAAATGATCTCTTAATTTCATGAAGCAAATAAATAATAGTAATCATTGTTTACTTAGCTCTACATGGTACATTCCTGGTAAATTCTTGCATTAAGCAGCACTCTTCACAACATTATATCTTGGAGATTAGATTCCAAGAATAGCGAAAAGATGAATATATTGAAATAAATCTCCATAAATAAAACATAACTTTTTCCTTTGCTATGTAATTTCTTCAAAATTAGGGTAAGTCTTTCGAGTTAACCAACTTGATCAATTTTGCCTGGCCTTATTAGGACTTTACTTTTATAAAGTCATAATTGCATTCCTATAAGTACAGTACTCTCCATAAGTTTGTATTCCTCATAGCCCTACCTATAGTACAGTACTCTCCATAAGTTTGTATTCCTCATAGCCCTACCTATAGTACAGTACTCTCTATAAGTTTGTATTCCTCATAGCCCTACCTATAGTACAGTACTCTCCATAAGTTTGTATTCCTCATAGCCCTACCTATAAGTACAGTGCTCTCCATAAGTTTGTACTCCTCATAGCCCTACCTATAAGTACAGTACTCTCCATAAGTTTGTACTCCTCATAGCCCAGCCTCTGTTCTCTCTTCCTCTCATCTGGAGCCTGCTCAGTAACAAATCTGTCATTCTGGATCTGCCAGTACTCGTGCTTCTTCTGGTAATCCTTCAGCTCTGTTAATGTCCTCTGGAGTGACCTGAGAAATATAACATTCATATTGACTTCACTGGTTATATTAGGCATGTCATATATAGCAAGTGTCTTTATATATATATATATATATATATATATATATATATATATATATATATATATATATATATATATACCCTTTTACAGTTAGTTTTGACATGTTAACAACTTTACCTGTGTTGTGCCTCCAGTGCCCCCTCCAGTTTAGCTATGTGTAACTTACCTGTGTTGTGCCTCCAGTGCCCCCTCCAGTTTAGCTATGTGTAACTTACCTGTGTTGTGACTCCAGTGCCCCCTCCAGTTTAGCTATGTGTAACTTACCTGTGTTGTGACTCCAGTGCCCCTCCAGTTTAGCTATGTGTAACTTACCTATGTTGTGCCTCCAGTGCCCCCTCCAGTTTAGCATGACACAGTACTGCATGTCTCCTCTGGGCGGCTGCCTCAAAGTCAGGCTGGATCTTTAGAGTATTTTCAAAACAAATCACAGACTTGTTATATTCTGCCAAGACCTAAAAGGTGGAAAAATTCACAACAATTAAGTCTTGTCAATTGTGTTTCACCTGATTTGAAAACACAAGTTGTGCTACAGGTGCAATATACTTTACATTGGTTACAAAAGAATGACTTGTTTTCAAACTTAAAAGTAGGCATGGCTTGTCTTGTTGTATTTATCTCTAGTAGATAGAGTTACAATTTAAGCTTTATTTCACTCCTTAAGCCAGTGACCTCTGACATGATATATAATTAATTTTTTTCAACCCTTACAAGTTCACAAGATGACAGTTGTCAATAAATCATGTAATCCATTATCTCCACACACTTACTGCATATATGTTTCCTAAAGTAAAGTGATTCACGTTGAGTTCTTTAGATATATCTAATGCTGCATGGACCACAATGGCTGCCTCATTGGAGTAGCGCGCTCTGTGCAGAATGTTAGCCAGACTTATTAATGCTACATCTTTCTGAAGCCTGAAAGGTATGTCATTCAGAATTGAAATATCACCAACAATGTAGTTTTTTTTTTTTTTTTTACAAAACTGTCATTTTTATAATTAAATTAAGTAAAACCGAGCATTCCCAAAACTGGTGGTGTTGAGATATGTATTTAACATACTCATTAAATTTCATCAAAAGATAAGGACTGTTATTTCTGTTATAGTTTTAAATTGGACTTTGTGTATTGTTATTTTGATTCATAGTTCTAATATAGTTTTTATATTTTAAAAATCTTTTTAATAATGTTTTATTTGTTTATTTTTTCATAACATCATGGCCATGGGTAAGGTAAATTTTGTATTTACCATGATTTTACCCCAATAAATAAATAAATAAATAAATAAACTTTTTTTACCTGGGAGAAAAATGGAGAGCCCTTCTTAAGCACTCCACGACTTGGTATGTGTCTCCTTTTATCCTCCAGTAGAAAGCTGCCATGTTGTAAAGAACCCATGATGTGGTATTCTGAAAAAAAAATTAAATAAAATTATTATACAAATACTTATGTGCTACTCATACAGCTTCTTGAAATCATACAATTGCAGCATGTCCAAGCAAGGGACTACAAAAGATTTAATTCTGCAGAAAAAAAAAGAAATATCAAATAACAATGAACTGATGCTCATTTTGGCTTGTATTTGACAATCTATACCTATTTGTCTTGGAGAAAATAAGATTCTAATCAACTTGTGTGTATGTGTGTGTGTGTGTATTCACAGTTGATAAGACAAAGACAGGATAGAAAGATTCTAGTCAAGACCAATAATCATCTCAGACAGATTAAACAGTGCCTCATTAGTTCAAGCAAGTCTTTACCCACCATCAAATTATCAGTTCCAAGCCGAGAAGTTAACTGTAGTAATTACATGGATTGACCGCCCTCGTATACCGTCATATGTCAATTGTGTTCTCTACTTTAATAAGAGTCCATTATGATGATAACATCTACTACTAAATTCACATAGTGGATAAATACTTACCTTCTTCAAGGCTTGCTGTATGAGGTGGCCGTAGTCATCCACGTTATCTCTGTGGGTGATGGCGTTCTTCAAGCCCAGCTCAGGGCTGCCACTTAGATTGGTTCTTTCCTTCATACCCTGGAACACAATGGAATGAATGAATGAATGAATGAAATATCAAATAAATTAATAAATAAAATAACAAAAGATAATTAGACTTACTGTTCATTCTTTAAGCACTGTACACTAATTCACATTTAACCACAGGAGGTCATTGTTTAAGTGAAATCTTGATCCAAATTTTAAAACTGCTAAAAATATCACAAATATTGCTCTATCCTCTTAGTGAATAAAGTTAAAGAAATAATTTCTGTTATGGCAACATTTATATCTTTTAAAATATCTTTCCAGTACAAGATTTTTTCCGAGATGCCCATTTTACACAGGGTATCCTTTGTTGAAATATTTTACCTCTAAATGTTCAAAAGCATGGATGCTATACTCCAGTCTTAGTGAAATACTCTTACCTCTAAATGTTCAAAAGCGTGGATGCTATACTCTAGGGTAACCCAGCTCACACAGTCAGGGGGTACAGGTGCTGTGGTGGGCGGAGCCTTGAAATCTATATGTTCTTCTGGCCTGGAGGAAAAACACAGGAAATGAGCTGAATGTAATTGGAAATAAAATTGATCCATAACTATTTCTTAAAATGAGAAAAAACTTTCACTTTAACCTTGATAAAACAAAGAAGTAGTTTTCTAAAACTGTTGAGTTGGCTTTAGCCTCTTTCTCTCTTTATCTCTCTCTCTCTTCAAGCTTGCATGTTAGGGTATGAAAATGAATGTTTACTGAGAATAACTGAGCTTTAAAATCAATAAAGTAATGGTTTGTTAGACATGAAAAAAGACAATGAAGATTCTAGGAAAATTCCAGTCTATTCTTTTTCTTATTTCTGCCAAATTTTTGTATATTGTATTTGTTTGAATATAAGAATGTTAATTTTTTGTACCTTCTTCAAGTATTTTGGAAAATTTAATGCAGTTGTAACTCAGCAACATAATCAATATTCAGTTTTGTAATACACAAGAAAATTTGAGCCTTGGAATATGTAACTGAAGCCACAACATTTAGAATCAAATACACTTGTTAGGTATCACATGCAAAGAACAGACTACTTAATTGTAGATTAGTGTGCAAATAATAGCATTACTTCTACAATGTGGTTCAAGGAAACTAGAATCACTCACTGGTACTGTGACAGTTGTTTGACATCTTATATCAAAAACAGAGAACCTAACTGTAGTCTATTTGTGGTCAAACAATAGGATGATTACTTTTTCCTGAGAAATTATCTTACAGCATAATTACTTTTTTTTTTCTATTGTAAATATAAACCAAGAAGACAATGGGTGCATTCAGAACAGATGATCCAAGGACTAAGTATGGCCGACCCCACTAAAAAGTGATGCTGCTAATTTCCTGTTGCTCTCCTCGCCTACACACATTCCATTATATGGAGTAAACCTCAGCTCCGAGGTTTAATTGCTAGACCCCTGCTGTAATTGCGCATGTGGATGCAGGGAAACCATCAGGTAATAAGTTGGTTCTGCTTTTAAGTGAGTTAGCCATATTTAGTCCATGGATGAACTTGCCCTCAACAACACACATACAGGGGCGGATCCAGAGCTATTTTCTGAAATTCTTCCAAATTATCTTTCTTGATCCATCTTCCATTTTTCAGTCTTCCAACATAAAAATTAGATACCCGTCAATGTAAACTTGAAAATCTGACTGTCTTCCAGAAGATCCTGAAGACGGCCTTAATCTGCCACTGCCCATACCTACCTAATCCCTTTATTCTCCAGAGGCAAAACGGTGCTGATATACAAGTCATAATCAGGAAGAGGCTTCCCTGCAGCTATGCAGTCTGGATCAGACTTGTAAAATTTTTGTTCTAAACCTTTGAAGAGAAAATCATGAAGTATCTCAACAAACATATAAACATTTTTAACTGCCCCTCAAATTACAAATTGTTTACTAGTATTCAAACAAACAAACAAAGATTGAAAAAATCCTCTTTTCTTACATTTTCTTTAATCTATATCTCAATTTTGCCTTTAAAAGTTTTAAAAGTTACAATTTTCTAGGAAGACCAAATTTTCTCAATTTAGTTTTCTACTTTTTATTACGTGTAAGAAAACACCATGCTGCAACTTTTAAATGCAAACACAGCTTTTTGTGCCAAACAAATGCAGCAGCAGAATCAAATGAAAAACCAATGATAAAGACAGTAGATAAAATACACATTCAAGCCACAATTAAGCTTTTTGGTACTAAAAATAATATTACCAAGTGCAACAAATAAATAAATAAACGAATAAAATGAAATAATAATTCAAAATGTGTACAGTAATACTAAATAGTGAAATAAAAAGTAAATGAAGCAGAATACCTACTGAATGGATTGACAAGCACATGCAAAAATCACACTTACTACCTGTATCTTTGTCTTCATTTTTATCAATTTCATCTTTTCTAGATAAAAGTTCATTTTTTAGGCCATCTAACATAACTGCACGTTCTTCCTGCTTCAAGAGGGCCATCAGGTCGTACGGCCTCCGCATGTTAAATACTGAATCAGCCTGAAAACAAGGAGAAGTATTCCATTAAACTGTTTTTATGTCAGGTGATCTGTTAGGTGATCCAACTCTGTGACCATTAGAAGTCTGCAATAAGTGAATGTCATCACCTGTATAACTCTGATTGATATACAACACAACTACATAGATGTTGGAATGGGCAATATGAACTCATCTCAAAAGCACTTATCTTCTTGTCATCATTTATTCTCTTTGGTATTTGCAAGCTAATAAATTAGATATCACCAATTTTTATATGTTTACTGAAGGACAAATTATGCTTCATGTCTAAATTGAAAAACCTCTAATAAAATTTGAGTGTTATATGCATATAATAGAGAATTCAGTGCATAATGCAATTTTTCACATTTCGTACATTTGAAAATGCCCCAATTAGTTTTTGAAATAATATTTTGATTTACAGACCAACTCAACATTTCATGCATGGTAAGGCATTATAAGATGCCATTCTAAACTAGAGGACCAGAACTATTCTGCCTACTGGGTATGTACCACCAGCAGGATGAGAATTCTAAATGACAAATTTTCAAATATGGCCAGGCATATGGAAATTTTAGTGATAGCATCTAGACATGATCTCGGGTTGTATGGAAATAGTAAGGTATGGTTCAGTGGTTATGGCCAGGGGGCTGGGGCTGCTTGTAAGTTGGAAAACTGCCCAGAAAAAAATTGGATTTTTAACTGAAATTTAAATCATGCAAAAAAAAAAAAAAAAATCATGTCTGAGAATTAGGAACATGACAATGAGTAATCAATAACATTTCACTTTCAAATAAACTGTACCTTTTTCTATCCCTTTCTTCTTTTTCAGAGATAAAAAAGGAGCTAACACCTTTATTGTCTAGCCAAGTTGTAGACAGTATCAGAATACAAAAATCTGTCGTGTATATGACCCACAGTGACAGGTACCCCTGATGAGCTTTTGAGAACAACAGATGTAGTAAGTGGTAAGTTATCATTCTACTCCTTATCTTGATATAGATGAATTTAAAAAAATCATTTTTAACCTTATCAAATCTCTCAAAATATGGCAGATTAACTGAACATAAAAGAAATATTTATTTTACCTCACCATGGACTCAAACCATTTTTATACACCTAGCAAACAATTATGTTCAGCACTTTTTTTATCACTTTATGTAGGTAATAACAACATACTGATGGTTGTTTATCATATATCATCACTGTCACGATGATATATGATAACCACTTAATCTAAAATGATATATGTCTGACAGAGTCCTAAATAATTTAAGTTTTATTTTACAGGGTTAGCACTTGAACACTGAGGCAAATGTTGGCAGCCACTTTTATAACACTGGTAAAATGGCATACGGCTTCTGCAGTTCACTTGAGAGATAAATGCTTCCATGAAAGTTTGGGGGGGGGGTCCTCAACTTGCAGTATGGTCTACAGAAATATTAACATCCTGAAATATTCCTGAACCAATTAAAGCTAGGGAAACCCCTACAATGAATGAATTTTCACAACAACTGAAAAAGACTGGAGACAGAGAGATCTATACATTATGCAAGGTCCAGTCAGATTAAATTTTGCCTGTCTCTCAATCCCACTTCTAATACAACATTAATTTTTTATTGATTTTCAGACAATGACACATGTAAAGTATGTGCTTTACAAACAACCATCAAAGAGATACTGTATTCAGCTTCTCATCAATATTGCAAAGCTTTTATAATAATGCCTCATCCACCATTCACCAATATAACAGACAATGCTAGTTACACCATGTCACGAGGCATTTCCCAAATGATAGAGTATCATCAAATAAAATTGCCTTGTAAACTAACATTTCTAAAAAATCCTAATACCTTGGATAGCACAGGTAAATCTATAATTCATGTCCAGGCCATTAGAAAGCATCATGCTAGGATTTTTAATGTACATACTTCAATCATTACCTTAGTAGACATAAAAATATGGATTGTGTTCACTTTACCAGCCAGGTGATGAATGCCATTTTTTTTTAAATTGTTGCTGTACATTTCAGAAAAATGCTGATATAATCATATGAATAGCTAGTGAAAAATTATGTCTATCATTCTGGTGTTTGTTCCAAATGGGATTTGAATGAACAGTGTTGTTTTTCTAATAAGGTCAGTACCAAATCAAAAAGACACTGAAGACACGCAGACTTTTTAAAGTAAAATCTCTATCCAGTACATGGTTTGTGCCTAAGTGTCTTTGAATAAAAAATTGTTTTGGAAATAATAATAATAATAATAATTTAATAAAAATATATAATAATAGCATAGTAAATAGCTTTAACATAGTAAACAGGTCTAATGAAAAGTCATACCTCAAGACATGCTTACAGTGAAGATGAGCTGACCCTTCTAATCTGTAAACTGTCTACAAAAAACCTGCTTTCCTTATCCTAGTATATATTATATACTTCCCATTTAAATTGAAAAAAATTCTGTGCATGCAATAAATTTATCCAAATCAAATGGCCTGCAGAGGAGCTCCGTAAATTGAGCTAGCCTATCTTCAGTGTAAACAAGCCTCAAGTCTTTTACCTCTATACAAAAGATAAGGCAAGTTATTGGACATTATGGCTATGAGAGATAAACTTTGAACCTAGTTTAAGTGAGGATGGCATAAACAAGTCTCCTTAAATTTTATGTAGGGCATATACTAGTAACTAGATTTTATCAACTAGCACCAAGAAAAAAAAATCTCTTATATGAACCAACACAAAATTCAAACAATGCAAAGAAGATGAAAATTCAGATCTGCATATTTTAGACACAGTTATAAGAACCAAATAGCCTTTTTTCCCAAAAAACTACTTTATCAAATTGAGCCAAAGCTATCATAAAATAATGAAAATAATCAAAGATGTAATTCATATTTTTAGAATCCAGAAAATTATACATCACAAAGTGACTTACCTTTTTACTAGAAAGTAACACATAGTTTAGGATAACTGTCTAGTGCTCAATTGTCTTTTGCAAACAGTTAACTAGATAATTCAATTCAATTCAATTTATTTCTGTACTGGTACATAGATTGTCATGACCTTGTACAATATGATATACTAATGACGATACAATACAGTTAGTGCATTACCATCTTTATATAATGGACATACGTATCAGTAAAATTACTCATAAAATATTCTATCTAAGCAATGCGATAAACCTTGGTGTGATTTTAAATTTACCATAAACATACTATAAACATGTTACACAAAAAGAATATGTTTAAACTTAAAACCAAGGTTACATAGCTGTTTAAAGCCAGTTTGATGACATGGATAATTACGACTAATGACAATTACATAAGACAGATAAGTAAATAAGTTACACAGATATAAATATTGTGCCATGTTCAGTCCCACTGCCGAGTCACTTCTCACAACAGTGGGACCATACACTGACATTTTAAGGGATAATGTATCTGCCATTATATCCAAAATCAAACTTAAATTAACAGTACAGGGATTTCACGATAAATCTCATTTTACCTCTGAGGATATAGGCAAATTTCTCCTACACAATGTCCATTCTGCTGCTGTACTTGGATTTGATAATGTGTGTGTGTGTGAGAGAGCGAGAGAGTCTGATGGAAGAGGTGAAGACCTGATTGACAAAGTATGATTATTATATTAATGTCCACTGGTCTTGTGACTGTACTAGTATCTACATGGCCACAGATTTGCAGTTTAAGACCCCATTTCCATAGATTTTTTAGATCGATCTATCCCTGTGGGGAGTCTCACTAGATTACTGTCAGCTTAGCCGGCTTAAGCGTCTGTCCCGCCTACTGAAAGCTATAAGGGGGTAATTAACTAAGGTGCGCTGACTGCAATTTAGCGTGAACCCCCAGGGAGTGACGTCAATCTAAATCTTAATCTCTGGATTGATCTAAATCTCTGTGAATACACCCTAAGTGCCACTTTAAAGGAGGGGGGGGGGGGGGGCAAGAAAAACACTGACAGCTTCCAGGCCTTTCCAACCTCCACCTTCCTAAAATCTACTAGTACTGGCATGAACCAGGATTTACTGGTCAGAATAAAAATTCAGTAAGACTGGAAAGTTTTCCCAATTGCATACACATATAGGTAATAACAAGATCTTGATCTTATCTTTTTTTTTATGATAAAGAATCATCAGTTACATTTCAGAAAAATAATCAAAATGAAAGATCTTTTGAAAAAGCATAGAAAAAAACACTTAATTAATGCATTCTGAAAAATCTACTGGTCCAAATGAATTTTTACTGGCTGCAGGCATATGAAGGACCAGTGGCTTAGGTGGCAGACTTCAGACATAAAATGAGCAAATTACTGGCTGTGTGTCTTGTGACTGGCCATGTGGCCTCAACTGACATATGTCAACTTACTTCCAAAACACATCATAAATCAAGTTCAAGTACCAGCAAGGCTTTCTCCAAACTGACAAGATTCAGATAAAATGACACCTTATAATTCCAAAGTAATCATTGCAGAGTGATATGTTGAACTTGTCATAACAATATCCAATTTTATTGCAACATGCTACTCATAACTTTGGATAACTTGTCACCATAATTTCCAATATTATTGGAATCACCTAACAGTCTCCAATGTCCTAACATCACACCTTCTGAGTAAATCGATGACAGGAAATGTTACACTCAACGTGATTGTTCAACCTCTTAATCATGATTCTTCACAATGAAAATAGATTCAAGTATTCAAGTTATGTCTAAAGCTAGGTATGAAATAGATATCTTTAAATCTTCGGCTCCAGGTGTTCAACATCAAGGAAAGTGAGAAAGATATTTCATATGGAATGTTTTTTTCTGTTTCAAGTACTAGATTATCATAAAGAAAAAGTGTGCAAGAGAGAGAGAGAGAGAGAGAGAGAGAGAGAGAGAGAGAGAGAGAGAGAGAGGCTCATTACTTTCAAGTCAAAACAATTTTTAAGATAATTGCTTCCTATGGAATATTTGCGGCCACTAATCTTTTTTTTTAATTGAATCTGAATTTACCTTACTAGTACATAATTCTGTCTGAATATAGCATGGTAGAATAGCGCGACTGTGATCAGTTTGTGGAGAATAGCACGGCCAATAAGATACACGAGTTTGTGTGCAGGGATGTAACAAACACTAGACAAACTACTTATAACATAAAGTATATATAACAGGTTTCAGTTACCAAGGCAAGCTAATGCTGGTCTGCTGTGTTAAGTAGTTTGACAGACCAATCAAATACATAAATATCATTTCAGAAATATATGCAGGCTCAATGTGATAAGTGTGGAAAAAAAGAGAAACAGATGAAAAAGAAAAAAATGGTTTGTATCCTATATTAAGAGGCAAAGGATTATAGTACAGATGAAAATGCTTAACATTTATACTATGAAGGCTGATTATAGATGTCAACTTGATAATACACCTACTATATATCCTTTTATCACATTTGTTGAGAACACAACAGGTGTCACTGATAATAGCCAGGTAAAAATCAATAGGGATTTCTATTAAGAGCAATAAAATCGCACCATATTCTGCATATAACTCCTTAGTGCTTTTTTTCCATAAGATCATATCAATGGCATTATTAATTCAATAACACTTTAGCTAATTAATAAAATAATTTTTCAAATGATATTCTAATAACCAAAAAAAAAAAAATTTTTTTTAGGCACCAAAATAAATTATGAAGATAGTTATACAATTATCTTATATTAGCAGACATAACAGCATGCTACCACGGTTGAAAAGAGCACATACTAGTATATATTTACAGAATACACTTGCTATCAGGGGTTTCGCCAGGATTTGGGATACAGGGAGTCCAAAATGTTGATCTGTAATTTGGTTATCGATTTATAGAGAGTCCAACTGCAAATATACCGTCATTCCCCAAAACTTTCGTAAGCTGTCCAGGCGTCTATGGAAATAGAGGCTGTCGTTTTAGACAAGTGGCCATGTCCAAATGATGCTGGTTGACTCTCTGGGGAAAGCCTTGCTTACTGTCATCCCTTGTCTGCCAGATAATAATCTCTCCTGTCTGTCTACTGTATTATCCTACTGCTTCAAACTGATGTATATAATTAATGGGGACTACAGGAGGGTTTCCTTTAATAGCTGCACAAAAACTCATTATTTTGTACTACTTCCAAGTGATATGTACATCATGAAGCTCCCTACTTGATGAAGTCAACAAATTTAATTTCACAGTCTGGTTAAGAAAGAAGTGTTAGTTGTATGGATGTATTGGCTGGACAATAAGCTGGAAGTTGATAGTGGTGGGGTCTTCTTATTACAGATGGGCAAGATGCTAAGTGCAGTGCTGAAGTAATCAGATATATAATAGTTCTAATTATATTTCAATTACTGTCTGTAGTAATACATGTAACAGCTATAAATACAGTGCTTTGCATTACATTACACTGTCATCAGTTCTCAATCTGTTCGAAAATTTGATGAATATTTCTCGAATCATCAGTTTTCACTCTACTTCAACCATCATTTATTGTGACTTTGCTTCAAAGCTGAGAGAGACCAATACTATAGTAAGTAAGGCAGTAAAGACCAAAGAAGTAAAAAAATGTGTAGAGAAGGAATATAGTATTCTGCAAGTACAAGTACAACTGTATGTGCACAACGGTACTTTTTAATGCATGTTTCTCATATAATGTTAAAATGTGAGAGACCTTACAGGCTTGAAAGTTAAACAAGTAGTGAACTACTTTAAACCTCCCCTTTTCTAAACCAATTCATGGTTCGTCTTTTCAATTTAATCCTAAAGCAGTACGTAATTATTGTCATTTGGCATTAAAAACAATGTCTATGTTGACAGTGTTCTGCATATAAGTACTGCAGTTTTTGTATCAAACCCTAGCAGTGATAAAGACTATATGCAGTGAATGATGCGGCGAGAGTAATCAATGAAGTATGTGAGCGTTTCTTACATATTACAAAGCTTTTACCACGTTGGAAAGGCTTGGTAGACAGTAAGATTTTAATGATACATACCTGGGCTTGGATTCGACCATCTTCTGTCACAATCCAATGTGTAGAAGCTCGAGAAGTAGGAAAGGGACAAAAAACTAGCATGGACCATGCAACAACAACAACCACCGTCGCCATCTTTCCTCCTAATGAATATGCATGTCCTTGGGATGAAAGTATGGTGGCCCATAAGAAAATTTGTTAAAATCTCAACTAACACAATGGGTGGGAGAATCTCAAATAATTTTAGACATCAATCCATGGGTTCAAGGATTTGTCAAGCACTTCAGCATGGCAAAAGGAGATTCACTTGCACAATAACCAATTAAGTTTGTATTACTTTTTGTGTTCAACTGTAGATCTATATAGATCTATAATAAATAAATAAATAAATAAATAAATAAATAAATAAATAAATATTTTACCTCATTTACTCGTGAAGAAAGCAATAGTTTTAAGCACTTTAGATTGACAATGTTAAGAAATTGAATGCTACTATCCACATAGGTCTAGGATGGGAAAACATAGAAATATATGCCAAAGCTGATCAAATTGTTCACAAAGATATGTAATATATTGGACTGGAATTTCTTTGTCCCCTGTCATCATCTCTTGACGTGACGAAAAGGTCAAATTTCTTTGCACTGTTATCCACATCAAAGTACCGTGTGCAAGTGAAGAGAAAATGATTCAATGGAATGACTTGCATAAAAACCCACAGTGGCTGGCATATTGGGCTCACCGTAGATTTGTTCTGTTGACTTTGTTGACCAATCAAATTCCGAAACGTTGTAGTCTTCTTGCCATGTATAATGTTACGTATCCTCCAAAATATGAGGCAATCTAATTCCACTGTGATTGCATAAACAAAATTATTAGCATACACAATAAAGGCAAATTTAGATTATAATGTTAAATAAATTTATGTAAGCTTTTTGGGTGCATCAATCCCGTTTTCAGGAAAACATAGGCAAATAAAGCACCCAATAAGAGGGAGAATATCCCATAACTGGAACAGCCCAAATACTTGTATATAAGCACATCGCAGCCTATTTCTCGCAATAGTCGCCATTTGTCTTGGGACGTCAGTGTGCGTACGGACAGATCGACCGCAAACTTTCTTAACGTTTATAACGTTTGATTTCAACTTACACTAACTGAAACTGAACATGGCCGTCAGTCAGCCACGCCAGAATTATGCCGTTGAGAGCGAAGCAGGTGTGAACAAGCAGATCAACATGGAATTGTATGCGAGTTACGTGTATCATTCCATGGTAAGTCTATATTCTTCCTATTTGTCATTTATTTCAAATGCTTAAGCAGCTAGTGGATAACAGAGAAAAGTTTAATATTGTGTACTTTTGTAATTAAAACGTTCTATGTCTGGGTAGGATGTTGTTTACGCGGTTGGCGTTCACGTGCGGAACTGGGTAGCAGGGTCAAAAACTGGGACGCTAGTCACGTGTATAGTGTAATCTATATTTAGCAGCGTGCGTCATTGCGATCCGTGGTTTAGTTGGTACCCCAGTACTTTTGATTTCGTTTTGTAGGGTTACTTAAAATTAGTGCTTTCAGAGATGATTACCATTATTAAATAGTTGAAATATATATCTTTTGACAGGCTTACTATTTTGATCGTGACGATGTTGCCCTGCCTGGATTTCACAAGTTCTTCAAGAAGGCCTCCGAGGAAGAAAGGGAACATGCTGAGAAACTGATGAAGTTCCAGAACCAGCGTGGAGGCAGGATTGTGCTTCAGGACATCAGGGTTTGTACATTTTAATAAAATAAATAGACTAATAGAAGCAAATTAAATAAAAATATGAACCCAAGTAAGATGAGTAAAAGAAAGGAAACATAACTCCAGTTGAATGAAAAATGTAAAGTTATTTTCTATACAATGACTTGAGGTTGACTGACTTTTTGAGTTAGATGGTGCCATTGCATGAAATAGGGAAAAAGATAAAAAGGTGCAAATAGAAGTCTGTGATCATATGTTTGATTGGTAAAAAAAAAATTTGCAGTATTTTGAAGCAGCATCATCTATGTTATTTGTACTAAATCAGTCATATCTGTATGTATTTTCTGTAGAAGCCAGAGAAGGATGAGTGGGGAGATGGACTTGCTGCCATGCAGGTGGCCCTGGCCCTGGAAAAGAACGTCAACCAGGCCTTGCTGGACCTCCACAAGGTGGCCGCAGATAATGGGGACGCCCAGGTGTGTATATGTCTTTGACCTGCTCCAAAAAAAGGGGGAAAAAACCTCTTGGCTCCAGTATGAGATTCTCAAAGTTTTGCTGTTTAAGTCAAACCTTTCTGATTTAGCACTTTTTGTGATACACGATTCTCACATGCAGTTTATGGTTAAAGTAAAGTTGTTTGCTCATAGCATGGGTCTTGAAATATGCTTATCACTTTTATTGCCATAGGCAAGCATGTGGATTGCTTTTCCCACAGTATTTCATTAGCAATATCATTCGGGTTAAAGATTATCTTGTGTTGATGTTTACTGATAAAAGGGATTGTGCAAGAAAGTTTGATCTTTAACCCAGTATCAAATAAGTTTAGGTGAAACTTTATCACTATTTAAACATAAAGCTTTGGAGAGAGTATTTTTCCATAAAGCAGACTTGCTTTTATATTTAATCTTGCCACTCTGTTTGCAGATGACCGATTTCATCGAGGGCCACTATCTGACGGAGCAGGTGGAGTCCATCAAGCAGATCTCGGACCACATCACCAACCTGAAGAGGTGCGGCAAGGGCCTGGGAGAGTACATGTTCGACAAGGAGACCCTGCAGGATTAAACATCCATATTTGAGGAGTGCCACTCAGACACAAATTGTCGTCTTAGAGGACTATCTAAATAAACATTCTCGTATTAATCAATATGTAGAAGTTGTTTCTGTGGAGAAGTGTGCATTCCCATTTTTAACATAATCGCCTTGTTAAGGTCACGAAAATTAGTTTGTCTTTCCAAATCACTCTATGCTTGCATCTTTGGTTTGCTTCTGGTTTTAACCTTTGGTTTCATTTATTGTAAGAAATCTTTTAAAGATATTTGAGTGAAGGGATGCCATCTGGACAGAGAGAAAAGCTAAGAGAGAGACTGTTTGTCATCAGGAAAGGAAGAAACTTCCAGTTAGTTTTTCATTTTAAATAAAGATGCCATAAACTGCAGAAGTTGTTTGTTTTTGAATGAATGGAGTTTTCTCTTCAGTTGAAATGCGCATGCCCCAGACTTATCAAAATTTATTCAACTTTTATATTTGGCCTGAAGCAGAATGTACACTTTTAGATTGCAAAAACATGACCTTATGTTTTTGACATTCAAACTTGAACCCAACCAAGCAGAGAAGTTTCCAAACAGAATGACCAATAAGTATTGTCATGCACATCAAATCCATGACTACTAAAATTTGACGGTATATTCACAAGTAAATCAGATAAAGCTATGCAAACTAAGATTTTCTATTTCTTATTGATTGTTCTTGCCATTCTTAGAAAAAACAACTGTGCTTGCTTTTTATGTACAGACACAGATGTGTCTGTACANAGAGAGAGAGAGAGAGAGAGAGAGAGAGAGAGAGAGAGAGAGAGAGAGAGAGAGAGAGAGGCTCAATTACTTTCAAGTCAAAACAATTTTTAAGATAATTGCTTCCTATGGAATATTTGCGGCCACTAATCTTTTTTTTTAATTGAATCTGAATTTACCTTACATAATTCTGTCTGAATATAGCAAGGTACAATAGCGTGACTGTGATCAGTTTGTGGAGAATAGCACGGCCAATAAGATACACGAGTTTGTGTGCAGGGATGTAACAAACACTAGACAAACTACTTATAACATAAAGTATATATAACAGGTTTCAGTTACCAAGGCAAGCTAATGCTGGTCTGCTGTGTTAAGTGGTTTGACAGACCCATCAAATACATAAATATCATTTCAGAAATATATGCAGGCTCAATGTGATAAGTGTGGAAAAAAAAGAGAAAACATTGAAAAAGAAAAAATGGTTTGTATCCTATATTAAGAGGCAAAGGATTATAGTACAGATGAAAATGCTTAAAATCTCTACTATGAAGGCTGATTATAGAAGTCAACTTGATAATACACCTACTATATATCCTTTTATCACATTTGTTGAGAACACAACAGGTGTCACTGATAATAGCCAGGTAAAAATCAATAGGGATCTCTATCAAGAGCAATAAAATCACACCATATTCTGCATATAACTCCTTAGTGCTTTTTTCCATAAGATCATATCAATGGCATTATTTATTCAATAACACTTAAGCTACTTAATAAAATAATTTTTCAAATGAAATTCTAATAACCAAAAAAAAATATATATATATATATATATATATATATATATATATATATATATATATATATATATATATATATATGCACCAAAATAAATTATGAAGATAGTTAATACAATTATCCTATATATTAGCAGACATAACAGCATGCTACCACGGTTGAAAAGAGCACATACTAGTATATATTTAAAGAATACACTTGCTATCAGGGGTTTTGCCAGGATTTGGGGTACAGGGAGTCCAAAATGTTGATCTGTAATTTGGTTATCGATTTATAGAGAGTCCAACTACAAATATACCATCATTCCCCAAAACTTTCATAAGCTGTCCAGGCATCCATGGAAATAGAGGCTGCTTTTCAGACAAGTGGCCATGTCCAAATGATGCTGGATGGTTCTCTGGGGAAAGCCTTGCTTACTGTCATCCCTCGTCTGCCAGATAATAATCTCTGTCTATCTGTCTGTCTACTGTATTATCCTACTGCTTCAAACTGATGTATATAATTAATGGGGACTACAAGAGGGTTTCCTTTAATAGCTGCACAAAAACTTGTTATTTTGTACTACTTCAAGTGATACATCATGAAGCTCCCTACTTGATGAAGTCAACAAATTTAATTTCACAGCCTGGTTTAGAAAGAAGTGTTCGTTGTATGGATGTATTGGCTGCACAATAAGCTGGAAGTCAATAGTGGTGGGGTCTTCTTATTACAGATGGACCAGATGCTAAGTGCAGTAACAATGCTGAAGTAATCAGATATATATTAGTTCTTATTATATTTCAATTACTGTCTGTAGTAATACATGTAACACCTATAAATACAGTGTTTTGCATTACATTACACTGTCATCAGTTCTCAATCTGTTCGAAAATTTGATGAATATTTTTCTAATCATCAGTTTTCACTCTACTTCAACCATCATTTGTTGTGACTTTGTTTCAAAGCTGAGAGAGAAAAATACTACAGTAATTAAGGCTGTAAAGACCAAAGAAGTAAAATGTGTAGAAATGGGTGGATGCACAATTACTACAAGTACTACTGTATGTGTACAACAGTACCTTTAGATGCTTGTCTCTCATATCAATGTTAAAATGCGAGAGGCATGACAGGCTTGAAAGTTGAACAAGTAGTGAACTACTTCTGTAATTAACCCTCCCCCTCTTCGAAGACAATTCATAGTTAGTCTTTTCAATTTAATGCTAAAGCAGTACGTAATTATTGTCATTTGGCATTAAAAACAATGTCTATGTTGACAGTGTTGTGCATATAAGTACTGCAGTTATTGTATCAAACCCTAGCAGTGATAAAGACTATATGCAGTGAATGATGCGGCGAGAGTAATCAATGAAGTATGTGAGCGTTTCTTACATATTACAAAGCTATTACCACGTTGGAAAGGCTTGGTAGACAGTAAGATTTTAATGATACATACCTGGGCTTGGATTCGACCATCTTCTGTCACAATCCAATGTGTAGAAGCTCGAGAAGTAGGAAAGGGACAAAAAACTAGCATGGACCATGCAACAACAACAACCACCGTCGCCATCTTTCCTCCTAATGAATATGCATGTCCTTGGGATGAAAGTATGGTGGCCCATAAGAAAATTTGTTAAAATCTCAACTAACACAATGGGTGGGAGAATCTCAAATAATTTTAGACATCAATCCATGGGTTCAAGGATTTGTCAAGCACTTCAGCATGGCATAAGGAGATTCACTTGCACAATAACCAATTAAGTTTGTATTACTTTTTGTGTTCAACGTTTTGAACTGTAGATCTAGATCTATAGTAAATAAATAAATAAATAAATAAATATTTTACCTCATTATTCGTGAAGAAAGCAATAGTTTTAAGCACTTTAGATTGACAATGTTAAGAAATTGAATGCTACTATCCACATAGGTCTAGGATGGGAAAACATTGAAATATATGCCAAAGCTGATCAAATTGTTCACAAAGATATGTAATATATTGGACTGGAATTTCTTTGTCCCCTGTCATCATCTCTTGACGTGACGAAAAGGTCAAATTTCTTTGCACTGTTATCCACATCAAAGTACCGTGTGCAAGTGAAGAGAAAATGATTCAATGGAATGACTTGCATAAAAACCCACAGTGGCTGGCATATTGGGCTCACCGTAGATTTGTTCTGTTGACTTTGTTGACCAATCAAATTCCGAAACGTTGTAGTCTTCTTGCCATGTATAATGTTACGTATCCTCCAAAATATGAGGCAATCTAATTCCACTGTGATTGCATAAACAAAATTATTAGCATACACAATAAAGGCAAATTTAGATTATAATGTTAAATAAATTTATGTAAGCTTTTTGGGTGCATCAATCCCGTTTTCAGGAAAACATAGGCAAATAAAGCACCCAATAAGAGGGAGAATATCCCATAACTGGAACAGCCCAAATACTTGTATATAAGCACATCGCAACCTATTTCTCGCAATAGTCGCCATTTGTCTTGGGACGTCAGTGTGCGTACGGACAGATCGACCGCCAAACTTTCTTAACGTTTATAACGTTTGATTTCAACTTACACTAACTGAAACTGAACATGGCCGTCAGTCAGCCACGCCAGAATTATGCCGTTGAGAGCGAAGCGGGTGTGAACAAGCAGATCAACATGGAATTGTATGCGAGTTACGTGTATCATTCCATGGTAAGTCTATATTCTTCCTATTTGTCATTTATTTCAAATGCTTAAGCAGCTAGTGGTTAACAGAGAAAAGTTTAATATTGTGTACTTTTGTAATTAAAACGTTCTATGTCTGGGTAGGATGTTGTTTACGCGGTTGGCGTTCACGTGCGGAACTGGGTAGCAGGGTCAAAAACTGGGACGCTAGTCACGTGTATAGTGTAATCTATATTTAGCAGCGTGCGTCATTGCGATCTGTGGTTTAGTTGGTACCCCAGTACTTTTGATTTCGTTTTGTAGGGTTACTTAAAATTTGTGCTTTCAGAGATGATTACCATTATTAAATAGTTGAAATATATATCTTTTGACAGGCTTACTATTTTGATCGTGACGATGTTGCCCTGCCTGGATTTCACAAGTTCTTCAAGAAGGCCTCCGAGGAAGAAAGGGAACATGCTGAGAAACTGATGAAGTTCCAGAACCAGCGTGGAGGCAGGATTGTGCTTCAGGACATCAGGGTTTGTACATTTTAATAAAATAAATAGACTTATAGAAGAAAAGTAAACAAACATATGAACTCAAGTAAGATGAGTAAAAGAAAGTAAACATAACTCCAGTCGAATGAAAAATGTAAAGTTATTTTCTATACATTGACTTGAGGTTGACTGACTTTTTGAGTTAGATGGTGCCATTGCATGAAATGGGGAAAAAATAAAAAGGTGCAAATAGAAGCCTGTGATCATATGTTTGATTGGTAAAATAAAAAAATGTGCAGTATTTTGAAGCAGCATCTTCTATGTTATTTGTACTAAATCAGTCATATCTGTCCGTCTTTTCTGTAGAAGCCAGAGAAGGATGAGTGGGGAGATGGACTTGCAGCTATGCAGGTGGCCCTGGCCCTGGAGAAGAATGTCAACCAGGCCCTGCTGGACCTCCACAAGGTGGCGGCAGATAATGGGGACGCCCAGGTGTGTATATATCTTTAAGCTGCCCAGAAAAATGGAAAAAATACTCTGCTTCAGTAACGGATTCTTTTTGTGTTTAAGTTTAATCTTTTTGACATAGCATTTTTTGTGATGCACAATTCTCATGTGCAGTTTAGGGTCAAAGTAAAGTCGTTTGTTCACAGCATTGGTCTTGAAATTGCTTATCACTTTTATTGCCGTAGGCAAGCATGTGGGTTGACTTTCCCACACGACTTCAATAGCAATATCATTCAGGTTAAAGATCATCTTGTGTTGATGTTTACTGATAAAGGGATTGCGCAAGAAAGTTTGATCTTTAACCCAGTATCAGATAAGTTGAGGTGAAACTTTATCACTATTTAAACAGAAAGCTTTGGAGAGAGTATTTTTCCATAAAGCAGACTTGCTTTTATATCTCATCATGCCACTTTGTTTGCAGATGACTGATTTCATCGAGGGCCACTATCTGACCGAGCAGGTGGAGTCCATCAAGCAGATCTCGGACCACATCACCAACCTGAAGAGGTGCGGCAAGGGTCTGGGCGAGTACATGTTCGACAAGGAGACCCTGCAGGATTAAACATCCACATATGAGGAGTGCCACTCAGACACAAATTGTTGTCTTAGAGGACTATCTAAATAAACATTCTCGTATTAATCAATATGTAGAAGTTGTTTCTGTGGAGAAGTGTGCATTCCCATTTTTAACATAATCGCCTTGTTAAGGTCACGAAAATTAGTTTGTCTTTCCAAATCACTCTATGCTTGCATCTTTGGTTTGCTTCTGGTTTTAACTTTTGGTTTCATTTATTGTAAGAAATCTTTTAAAGATATTTGAGTGAAGGGATGCCATCTGGACAGACAGAAAAGCTAAGAGAGAGACTGTTTGTCATCAGGAAAGGAAGAAACTTCCAGTTAGTTTTTCATTTTAAATAAAGATGCCATAAACTGCAGAAGTTCTTTGTTTTTGAATGAATGGAGTTTTCTCTTCAGTTGAAATGAGTATGCCCCAGACTTATCAAAATTTATTCAACTTTTATATTTGGCCTGAAGCAGAATGTACACTTTTAGATTGCAAAAACACAACCTTATGTTTTTGATGTTCAAACTTGAACCCAACCAAGCAGAGAAGTTTCCAAACAGAATGACCAATAAGTATTGTCATGCACATTAAATGCTTGACTACTAAAATATGACGGTATGTTCACAAGTAAATCAGATAAAGCTATGCAAACTAAGATTTTTTATTTCTTATTGATTGTTCTTGCCATTCTTAGAAAAAACAAGTGTGCTTACTTCTTCCAATTAAGGATACACAAGGTGTCAAGCTGACACCTTGGGGTAATTAAGCTGCACCTAAATCCAAAACGTGGATGAAAGAACACAAATAGTGACAGCTGTCTCTATGGAAATCTATGGAGATATTTCAAAATTAAGGTGTAAAACAATTGGTGATGAAATTGAAATTTTTGCATTTAATATTGTGTAACCTGAACCAAACGCCCTGTATATTTAGAATTAAATTAAGGGAATAAAATTTGAATTTGATTTAGTTCCGAGGGTGCAGGGTGTGTGATTAACAGTATATCTGTGTGTAGCATGGGTGCAGTTTTGCTATAAAGAAACCATGAAAAAAATCTTTATTTAGTGACCAACAGTCATACGTGTTCAAAATTCTAGATGCACTGGGATTAAGTGCATTAATCAAAATGACTCAGCAACCCTATTTGAGGACATCCTTAACTTTGTCCTGCTTGTGGACAGTTGTTTCATTGATGACTTTCTTCTTATCCGTGTTTAGGTAACTTATCAGACCCCTCCCCGCTTCAAAATCCCTCACTTAGCATATCAAATATTTAGCAGTTTGATTATGGCTTTGATATTTGGCTGTAAACTGAACTTTGTTGAATGACCTAAGTTGCCTTCAAAATAAACACAGATTTACTTAAAGATATGACAATTCATATTTACATGCTAACATTTTATTTGTTCTACCCAATATATAGATTCTCCACCACTATGCACAATTGATCTTATATATATACTACAAGCAAATGAGGCCTCTTAGTGCAGCATTTTACCAATTTATACAGGGTGAGATGTATACTGAAAGATTTTACCAAAAAATAGGGAGAAACATGCCAGAACATTCCCTGCCTGTGTGCATAGTAGTTAGTCTCCATTTCAAGATAAATATAAAACGATGGCAAAATTCTGACTTGACAGAATACCTTTACTATAAACTATCTTCAGCTTTGTCCATGAGCTCACACCAATACAAGTATGTGACAGGAATTATGGTAAAAAGCATTTCCTGGTTAAATATTTATCCTTACAAAAATCTAAAAAAAAGGACATTTTAACTTGCACATTAGCAGTTTTAAAAACAAAACTATTAAGACTAAAATGAAATTAATTCTTAACAAGATGAAATTTGCAATATGTTATTTTCGAAACATTTTTTAAATTGCATTAAAACTTTTAAAAAATGAAACTATTGGTGATACTTTCACAAAAGAATACATGAAAAAAATTGGTGATTAACAAAATCACAGTTTGGCTTGACATGATGACATGATAAATTTGTTTTAGAGACAGACATTCCTTTATCCTGCGTACTGGATAATTACGACTGCAGCACCTACATATACATTATTGTGTTTGAATGGTGTTTAATACTGTGAAAGTCACTCAAATCATGGACAAAATTACGTCAATTTGTCCATGCTCAAATGTAAGGGAAAAGTTGAATATGTTACTTCATCAAAGTCTCATCTTTTTCTTGTCTTGTATCGCTTCCATGCCCTCTGAATGACCTCTGCAGCGTGTCTGGCTTTACGAATACGGGTCACACGGTCCTTTTGCTCTCTTGCCACTGACATGAATTTGTTTTCACGGTCTTGGTCAGGCAGGGCTTTAATCTTGGGATGGTATTCCTCCAAACATTCTTGAAACTCCACCAGTTTTGGTTTATTTTCAGCTGCCTGAACCCTGAAGTCTTTGCGAGCTGCAGGTCTTGGTGTAGGAATATCACTGTCATCCAAGCTCCTGATACCTACAATGTATAATGCTTATCTTTCAAAGGAAGTATAGATCATAATAAATAATATCCTTAATATTTAATGTAAGAAACAGAGGAGAAAATATAATTTTATTGCAAATAAATCTGGAGATCTGAGGAATTTGAATCAGTTTAATACATGTATACATATGTAAATTGAAAATTTCAGTGTAATAAATCTTTCAATTTCAGAAATGGAATAAAAGAGTTGGAATCCAATGGAAAGAAAATTGTGCATATGAGAGAGAAAGAAGAAGAAGAAGAAGGGAGATAGATGACATATTTAGTAATGTATCACATTTGTGTGTCAGTATTTTGGCACATGACCAATCCTTGCTTACACCAGTTAATTTACATCAAATCACTTCCACATGCCTCAACATCACACGTCAAGATGATCATTTCTAAATTTACATGTATTGAACGGAAATAAACAGTCTTGTGACCATTCAAAGTGCAGCAAGTATGCCAGAGTTCAAGTCAAGTGTTGTTGTGGCTAACATTTGGGTTAATTATTGACATGCTACGGAAAGGCTTTGTCTTTTGCCTTTTTAGCATGAAGAAAAATATCGAAAGATCTTTTAACCCTAACACATGTGTGGTAATAATATACTTGTACGATGTATACCTTTATAGATTAAACTATCTGTCTTGATTTGAAGGCATTCTTCAAATTAATATCTGCATATGCATGTAGAGTTTCTTCCATTTCCATAAGAATAAATATAAATAATTTATCTGTACAGATTAATTCATTTTCTGAAAAAATATTTCAAGAAAAGAAATTACATTGTACAGGATAGCCTTGAACCAGATGTGTTCATAATAAACAGGAAAACAGTACACATGTGCTGCTGTAGGTGTACCACATAGTATGGGTGTACGACACAGGGCTGGTTGGATACACTGAGTTAAACCAAGGAGTTATAACTCCAAGGAGTTATAACATCGATCCTTGGTTAAACATAGACCGCATTCAGATTCACACATCATATATACTAGCTTGGTTGGTCCAACACTGCAGGGGACTCCAAAGTACAATCAGTAGAATCAGCTTAATTGTCTGATACACCTCCTCAAGCAAGTAGGGGGTAATAAACTATCAATAGCAAAAATTGGATCGGCCCAGCTAGTACAAAGTGTGAATCTGAATGCGCCCTTAGTGTGATGTGATAAATGTATCACCTACAAGGGGGCAGAGTGGCATCTAGTTGAGCACTACTTGATTAATGATTAACTCACTGGAACTAAAATAATTTGTTATCCTGCTCCTTCAGAGTGAGGAAGGAATGGGGGTAAATATTGATCTTTTACTTTCAGACATACCTACTTTGTAAATAAATAATGAATGAAACATTGTAGATACTACCCCCCCCCCCCTTACTGACATACATAGTGAACTAAAAACAAAATAGGGCAATAATCATTATGTACTTGTGGTTATTTATTATAAGGGTTATACTTGGCTTATTTCCAGGGGCAGTTATTTCTGTTCACATATCATGAATAAAATGTACCATCACATGTGTAGACATGTGCCTTACACAACAAGGGTGCAGCTCTTTTTTTTTTCATAACACACAACTCTTAAAGACCATTGTGGCTCTGGAACTGACATGTAAAATGACACCCCAACTTTGTAACACTGTGACTTGTAAATCGATCTTCCTTATTTGGATTTTTCAGTTACTGATCCAGAATGATCCACAAGCACAACAACCAGTGAAAATGTCGTAGGTTTCCTAATCTTCAAACTAGCTGAGCTATACTTTTGCAGAGAGGTAACATGGATCAAAGTACTATGCTAATGACACAAAAAAATAGCACTCAACTTTGGTAAAAACTATCAAGATTTGCACTAACACATACCCTTGTGTATAAATTATAGCTGCATGAGCTCTATCAAAAATAAATTTCATTATCTTGCCTAGCTTGCTCTAATGGAGGTATAGATCTATAATTTAAAGCAGCATTGCTGTATAATCCATACAGCACCAGTTGAACAAGTGCCAGGAACCCTAGAAATTAGCACTTGCAGCCAATGTCATCATGGTGGTTTGCTAAATATTCAACTAGGTCTCAATATGAACAATTTTACTCCAACATTTTAAAGAAAACCAAATTAAATCTTTTATTTAATCATAGTTCAAATTGGGTTAATCTTGAAGCATGAAATATTGGTGGCAGTTGAAATTGAATTTATGTAGCAGGGGTCTTTTACAAATTCACATCTGATATGTGTTTCCTTAGTTTACACATTAAGGAAACACATATCAGATGTGTTTCCTTAGTTTACACAATTAAGGAGGTTTATGCAGCTTTTCAACTTTAAAATATGCCTAAATACAAATTTATCTTTAAGATCAAGAGCATTGGATGTCTCAAAGCAATGAATCTGTACCAAAACAAAACCCTAGTTTAGATTTAAATCAATAGCAATATTGCAGGCTCCCGAGTAGAAACCTAAAAGGAAGTCCTGTGACCTTTCAATGACTGCATGGCTCACACTGTTGACTATCTGAATTTAATTCCATTTAATGTTGATTTATGCAAGCTCAAGCATGGCCACAAACATGGCAAAGGTTAGAGATAATATCCAATACATAAATCATGGACTGACATTAAATATTGTAGTACACACGTAGTCCTATCCATGTGACTGATTGCTTGAGGCGTTAGCTTAGACTTACTTAGGTATCATGTGCCATGCTGCTGCACACTCTAACACTGTGTATGTGGGTGAGTGCATGTGAGTGTGCACATGCGTGCACATGCTGGTGCACAGACCAACTCAGATTTCAGTGTGGTTGACAGTGTGGTGTATTGGATAATAGTCTTGTAATATGCAATTTACAATGAAACATATACATGTAGCTGGAGCAAATTTGGTTAAAGTGAAATATTACCCAGCTAGAAAAGCAGTCCCCTTTGCAGTCTGCTTGCAGTCTCCTTAACAGTCCCCCCATGGAGCCTGCTTTGCAGTCTCCCTAGCAGTCCCCGCTCCCACGGCAGTCTCTTTTGCTGGTATCCTTAAGTATGGAGGGAGTCTCCCTGGCAGTCTTAATTTGCATTTTTGGAACGCGCTGCCAGGGGGACTGCCAGGGCAGTCTCCCTGGCAGTCTGCTTTGGCAGTCCCCCTGGCAGTCTGCTTGGCAGTCCCCCTGGCAGTCTGCTTTGGCAGTCTCCCTGGCAGTCTGCTTTGGCAGTCTCCCTGGCAGTCTGCTTGGCAGTCCCCCTGGCAGTCTGCTTTGGCAGTCTCCCTGGCAGTCTTAATTTGCATTTTTGGAACGCGCTGCCAGGGGGACTGCCAGGGCAGTCCCCCTGGCAGTCTCTTTGGCAGTCCCCTTGGCAGTCTGTTTTGGCAGTCTCCCTAGCAGTCTTAATTTGCATTTTTGGAACGCGCTGCCAGGGGGACTGCCAGGGCAGTCTCCCTGGCAGTCTGCTTTGGCAGTCTCCCTGGCAGTCTGCTTGGCAGTCCCCCTGGCAGTCTGCTTTGGCAGTCTCCCTGGCAGTCT